TTCGCGTAGGCTTTGTTTAGGCTTATAAAATACTGTTTTAATAGAACTGTTTTGCTTGTTCAACACCGCTGGATTTTCCAAAGGTTTGATTTGTTTCCAAAGGGACAAAGATGGTGATGAAGAAGATCCGGTCGGAGTATATGAAAAAGTTCAAAGACCCCAAATGGGAGACCTACACCAAGTGTTATGAGGAGATGCTGAAGTACAGGTTGACCCGCAGGCTGCTGGAGCACACACACAACCCCTGGTTTTGGGCTGGCTCCGAAAGTGATTCTGATTCCGGAGGAAGAAGCCCCCCTCCTCCTCCTCCTCCTCCTCCTCCTCTTCTTCTTCCTTCTGCCATCAAGGAGCTGGTACAGCCTCGGACCAGCAGGGACCATGCAACGGCTGAGCTGGAGGAGTGTGAGGGGGCGAGGAAGAGCAGAGAGCAGATCAGAATCACAGAGTCTGTTCCCAGACTGCCCCTTCAAGAGGGAGAGGAGTCTGCAGAACATGGTACAGAAAAAGAAACAGATGGATATACTGTGATGTACGCATGTTACTCTACTGTTATTCATTATGCCTTTCACTGCTCCCAGGCTCACAGCTCGAAGGTGTCAAGGAGACAAGAGTATCAGAGGAGGAGAAAGCCAGCAGTCAAGGAGTCAACAGAAGAAGCTCCCTCACAGGGGACAAAACAGAGGTAATGTAAATATAGTGTGCATCCTTCTGTGCTTTGCACATATACATGTAGATCTCGAGGTGGAGTCAAAATGATGGTTAAAACAAATTAAAGACAGAAATATTTCTATGAGGACAGCGGTGCAGGTCTTTGTCAAATTAAGAGGAAAAACAAAAACATAGTGTAGCAAAAAGTTTCAGATGAGGAAGGTATCATATTTATTTAAACAAATCTAGATATTTTTTAAACTATTGTCCAACACAACTTCAATCCTTTTAAATTCCTGCTAATGTTTTAGAGGAGAGGTTTGCACATCCAACTTTCTCATAGGTGCTTAGGATGTCAAACTATAGCCTTGAAAAGAGAAAATCTCTTTCTCAGCATCACCATTCATTATTAGAATGACAAAAAAAAACAATGTTTTGGTCTCTCGGGACATTCCTCAAGTGTAGGAATCTGAGCAACACCAAGGATCAGAAGGGGTTCTTAGGCGTGTTTTTCTGTTTCGACTCATGCAGATGAACAATTAAAGCAAATATTGAGGCAAAACGAGATCCATCATAAACATGATACATTCTGAAAGTCTTTTCAAAAGTAATCATGTAGACGTGTCACCTAATATCATCATCAGGTAAATGACTGCATGACTATGTTCCACACATGAAAATATTGACTGTTGTTCACCGTTCTTTTTCAAATAAAGTGCTAAAGAGTCACCATATATTGATTTATAATGTTCAGTAACACTTGATTGCTCAGCCTATTATTTAATGTTTTTACCTTTAACCTCTATTATTGTGTTGTGTCACTTGTGCCTTTGTATTTGTATTTTATTTGTAATTTGTCTTTCTCTTACCTGCCTACGGACAACAGATGGAAACTAGCACTTCTGCTATAATCTGGCATTTTTACAGCTGTAATTGTTACAGCTGTTCATTAATATGCACTGTCCCTAACAAATAAAAAAAATAAAAAAATGTTTGCACAAATAAATGTTTTTTTAGTATCACACAGAAATCATTTTGTAGCAGCTTTAGCAAACATTCAGCCCTTTTGATGTTTCGGTGTATTTTGGTGTTTTATGTTGATTAACCTTTTTGTCTTTGGTCTTTGTAGTGAACGACACAGGAGGACGACAACAGAGTAAATCCTCCAAAACCCAAAAGCAAGCTTGGCGCTCACAGCGCGTGAGGCCTGCACAACCACAGCCGCCTGAGGGGGACAGTAAGGAGTCCAAACATCCTTTTGCTTTGTATGGCTCAGGAGAGAAGGATGCAGACATGGCAGCCCGGAAGACCCACAATGTCATCCCTGCAGCTTCCACTACTGAGGTCAATCTCCCTCAAATGTTCTTAAGAAGTGTGCGTGACAGGCTGTGTTGTGACAACACAAGTTAAAAGTGTCTTTTCTTCTACCGGTAGATCCATGACTCTGCACTACGCGCCAAGACAAGACGGGAAGTGGAGCGACAGATCCAGACCCAGAGGGCAGAGCGTCGGAGATCAAAATCAGCCGATCTGAACAAGGCCAGAAAGCTGGTTCAACCAGAATACAACCCCTGGCTCACTGAGTACATGCGCTGCTTCTCTGCTCGCTCTCGATAGGAGACACACACACACACACACACACACACACACACACACACACACACACACACACACACACACACACACACACGTGCTAGCAGAAGTACATTAGGGTGATGACAGGATCAAATAGAGAAATAAAGCCATTAATGCCTACAAACCCTGACGTTTAAATACTCAGAGATGTAAAATAGAGGGTGGGATAGATCACTACTGACACCCTCAATGTTTTTTATTCAAACTATTTAAATATATATAGTAAGAAACACTTTACAGGGTAGAAGAGACTCTCTAAAGAAATGGTTTGATCAGTAAAAGTACCATTAATGGATACATCCAGCGTGTACTATTTGATAAGAGATACAACTGTATTGTACAGACAGACTAAAAGCCCCTTTAAACGCAGCCTATATAATATGCTTTAAACAGGGATATCAAAGCACAATGGACTCAGGGTAGGGAAGGCCTCAGCTGCCTTCTGAAAAAACACCTGAGATAAAATGTGAGAATGGAAAAGGCACTTATTGTATACACATGTAAGAAATGAACACGCCCATTCGAATAGTTTGTATTCTTACAGCTTTTTGTCTGTAGTCGCTTTGTTGTTTGTAGTGCGAAGCATGGATTGACATTCAGATATGTTTAAGAATTGTAATGCTTTTGATCTGATCAGATCTCTTGGTGCTGTGATGTGGCTCTTGTGGATGTGCAGCGGTTTCTGTGCTCACTTGAGTTGGTCTAGAAAGATGAGGATACACACATCCAGGAGGATACTTTTATCTGTTACCGACTGTAAAAAAGCGTTTGTATTTTTCCCTTTGATGCGTGTGTGATCAATAATGCAGGTGCTATCACAGTATGTAAATACAAACAGCGTGCGACTCTTTAAGCCGCTGGGTGCTGTACATACTGCAGGACTTAAGTTATACACTTACACCTCATGGATATTTTTTGTAAACCACGTGATGTCATGTTAAAATGATATGCAGCCAATTAAAGGCAGGGTTTGTTATTTCCTCCAGATACTTTTTAGGATTTTGGTTGAAATTTTCTTAAGGTCCTGAAAGAAATTAATAATTCATGTGCTCTAAAAAAAAAAAGGAACAAAGTAAATCCGTCAGCTGTCAGCTTGTAAAAACTTTGACCAATGTCTGCCACAAGGTACTAATCTGATGAACCAATCACACGCCTCGCTGTCTCCCTGCTCGTTCTCTACCCCTTCCCCACACTCAAAGCGCATCATCGATGACGGAGTTTATTCTGACAGTTTACTTACTGCTGAATGAGACATGTGACAATGTGGTTTCTATGGTTTTATTTCTACACAATGCAAGCGAGGAGCTGAGGTCAGCTTCTGGAGCAACGGCGCTCGTGCATGTAAGTGAGGGGCCGTGGCTTTTGAGCGAGCACAGATGGGGAGGGGGGTGAGTGCAGACGGGGCACTGAGGGAATGCTACTTTCAAAATCATGCTAGTTTTCCAAAAATGACCAACCCTGCCTTTAACGTTGTCTTCAAAGTGTAGCTATCAAAGGTTCATCATTAAAGCCAAATCTTTTACTATTTATTCTAAATGTGCTCGTGATCCAACAGTGGAACCATTATAATGGAAATATATAAGAGGAATACTTTATGCTGATATTGAGAGCATACGCGCTAAAGCTTGACCAAAATAAAGAGCACTTTGAAGATAAATACATTTTCTGATATCAATATTATAATATTTGGCCTGGTATATATATAATATATAAGAGCTTTGTGTATTCAGTCATCTGTTGAATATTATTTTTGTGTGAATGTGTTTAGAATCAGACACAGGAAGAAATAGACTGAAGTAATGTAATCAATCTGATGTTTTTGAAGACTTTTTTTGAATCGTCTGGTGTAGAAGTCCTTGTGTCTGCATTCATGATCAACTCAGCAGTGCCATAAAACCTTAAACAGTTGTTTCCCGCTCTTGCAGCTGGGCTGGATGTAATGTTGTTGTGAAAATGTGCATGGAAAGGGATGGAAGAAAAAGGAGGCCTCTGCTTGAAAATGAATCTGTTTTTTATTTCAATAATTGTGTTTTGTTGATGCAACTCTTGTTTCAGTATTACTTTAGTTTTTCAAAGTTGACGTTTTGTTGCACTAGAGTTTTGACATCAGTCATTGAAGTTGTGCAATATGAGGAAACTGAAGAGGCATTTCAGCTCGTGTTTTTTTTTTTTTTCACTTTGATGAACCGGACAATCTCTTAGAGCAGGAAAACAGGTTAGTGTATTCCTTTAGTCAGTTAGAGCAAGTTGTATAGTGAAGATCTTTTTAATGCTGTAGAGAGTTTTGGCTCTATTCTTTACATTCTAAACATTCAGTAATGTGTAGTGGACTTCAACGTCTTTGACTAGCATTGTTACATCCCAAATGATCCACTCGATCATTTTAACCTGCAGTGATGGAGAAAAAGAAATAGATAACATGGTGGGTCTATTAATCATTCGACTGATCATTGTTATCTTTTCGATTGTCTTATTTGAGGCTCTGTGTGCACATGTGATGTTGATCAGAAGAAGAGAGGTTGAAATGCTAAATTCTAAAGCTGTTAATAAATCACTTTACAGCCTGTTGCTTTGTTTTTGATTTTGTTTCTCTGACACATGATTTAGGGAATGTCTTAGAAGTTGGATCCCTTTAAACAAAGACAGTGATCATACCAAGCGGTGCCTCCAACAACCTCGGTCATACCAATAAAAGACACTTTTCAAACACAAACATGTATCTGTAGAATTTGTTTTATTCTAAAAACATATGCTTTAATCATACTCAATAAATTAAAAATCCATGATATTCATAATGACAAGAGAAAACCAGACATACATCAATATAAACAGAGGACGTAAACACAAGACAGCCACCTGACATGTAACAGCCAGAGCCCCTTTCGACCTCTCACTTTCAATCTGATGTGAAAAGCTTCTGAAGACTGACGTGTGCTTCAATGAAAAGATGAATTCAGAATTTTGAGGCAGAGGGAGTAAAAACATTAACGGCATGTCATGTTTCATTCAAGCACTGCACAACACAACCTTTAATGTCATTTTTACCATGAATGATTCAAACTGATTCAAACTGAGGACATCGAGGATCTTTAAAGAAAAAAAAATACAAACGCACATCAGATCGTTTCATACAGTCGCTAAAACTTGAAATGCATACAGTTGGTATTACACCACAGTCACTGAGGTACTTGTGTAAACAGGCGACATTTAGAAATGTAAGACCAGAGTCATGACTGGAAACTCCCTCAGATAAAGAAGTGTGTCCCACTGTCAGATCAATCATTTAACTGAAGCTTCATGTGTCGACTAAAAAACCATACATATCTCTCACACTGCTTTCAAATGAAATCCAAATGTATGCTCTGAATATATTTCAGGTTGCCTCTGTTTGTCAGTTTTGTTTTAAATCTATGGGCTTAAACAATGATGACACAGCATTTTCTCACATTAATGTAATAGTCCATAATGTAATCCACATAATCTTGTGTCATTTACAAATAAACATCATTGCAGCAAACGGTACAGCCCATCCGAACTGCTCACACATCACCAGTGTATAGTAGCTTTACATGATAAGAATACAATGGAGCATGAAACAGACGCTGGATATGAGTTCTACTTTAATATACATATAATATCTCTTGAAAATGAAATACTCTGTTTGAGAAAACATGCGTCAATCTCTATATACAGAAAAAACACTGTACAGTGTGTAGGGTGCTGTAGGGTGGACAGGTGGGTTGAGGTGCAGGCAAGTAACAGAGAGGATGGTTGCATGTTAAGAATAAAAGAAAGAAAGGGATGGAGGTGGAGGAGTGCAGTGTGTTAAGTGTAACTTTGCATCTGCTCGCCTGGGCTCACTTTACATGGAGAGAAAGTGCGTAAAAAAAAAAAAAGGAATGATTTAAGCAAACAGGGAGTGCAAAATGTGAGGGTGGTCTGTACTATGAGTGTTGTACATGTGATGGGAAAATCAGCTCACTGACTGATGCTTCAGGGGTTTAAAACATGAAGGTGGTTAACTTGTCAACAATTTGGGATAATTGTATTCCAAAGCTTTAGCTGAGGTCTAGCTAGAGCCTGGAGGCTATTTGCTTAGCTTTGCATAAGCTTCCATGAATCTGCTATCTGCTGATTTAGCAAATGAAGGTGTTCACTTTAAAACACAGGGTGTCTACAATAAAGTCTACAATCACACTCAATGTGGGAGCATTCAAACAAAACAGAGATGATGATAACTCACAGTTCCTGTTGTCATGGAGGAAGGACGTACAACTTTGAGAAAGCTTTCTATTGGATTCTTCTCATTAACTAGGAACTTCTAATCAACTATAACTCATTGGATTACTAAAAACCTCAGAGTGCATGCGCCATAAACCTTTTATGTAACTTTGAAGGATATGACAAGATTTCTGAAGATTACCGACAAACATCATTTGATCTTTGTTCGGTTCGATATCGGCAGTAAAAGACATATTGGATTAAAACTATTTTGATTTCATGGTAACTTCACAGATGAGAAGAAAAGGGAGATGGCATGACTCCCTCCAAGATCCAAAAATAATCTGGTGAAACCTTTATACCAAACTAATGAGCCGGAGTGATCTTGTTTGCCTAATTTGACAAAGAAAGAGAGCAAACTTTCCAAACGGTTGGTAATAGGGACAAGTTGGTGCTGTTCCACATGAGAAAACAAGAATGGACTTTGGTATGACGTTAGCAGGGGTACGTGCAGGATAAAAGACATGTTAGTAGTTCACTTCCTGATTGGAGGGCTTGTAGAGGGTTTGGTCCAATCGTGGAACAGAATGTTGGAAGGTGGGCTGCCCGTGGTTACGATGGAGATGCTCAAAGTTCTGAGGAGGGGGTTAAAGTTGGGGAGTCTGTTTGGCTCTTTGCAGGTGAAGCTGTGACAACAAGGGTTCAGAAGGCGCTGAAGAGTGTGAAGATTTGGTGTAAAGGCCAAATCGAGGGTCGGAGAGGAGTCACCAGAACAGCCACCTGAACCCTGGACTGTGAGGGTCCCCCCACACCCCGAGGCTGATCCCCTTCTGGTCTTCACAAACCTGTCTGAAACACTAAGCACACACGGGGATAAAACAGAGTAACATGGTCACACAACTGTAATAAAGGGAACAAAGCGGAATCACAAAACTAATCGTTTATTCTGATCACTATTAAGGGAAGTGAGCAGAATTATGACCTACCTCTTCCTGTTTGAAAGTAAAATGCTCATTGAAAGACTGATTTTAAATAGAATTAACTTCAGTAAAAGAATAAGTCCAGTGATGATCATTTTTGATTGTTAACAAATAAAAAATAAAAGTAACCACAGTCTGATATAAACCTCCTATAAACGTCCTGCAGTGTGAGACCTCCAACACAGAAACCTAATTGCTTTACTAACTATTAAAGTAAAATAATCATGGTCACATAATGGACTCTTTGGACTCTTGAATGTTGAAGGATTGATGTCTCCAAAAGGAATACTGATGATAGAAGTAAAAAAAATGGGGAAAGTTGGATGACATTTTTATGTTTGTATGTTTGCATGTCTGTTGTGTGTTTCTAAACTTTGCTTTGTATTTTATGTCTTTGTATTATGTTTTATGTCTATTTTGAATCGTTTGTATTGTCTTATCTAGACCCTGAGTCTGTAATACAGTTTTGATTGATTAATTAATTGTTGACAATGATTTTTTTTTTTTTTTAATCATCAGCCTCTTTATCTTTGAAGTTTAAACCAAGCAGCAAATGTGTGGTTCTTACTGAACACATTCTCTACATGTGAATCAAACTGAGGTTTGTAAATCACGACATGACTGACGGGTGTGTGGAGAACAAACAGCGTCTGAGTGCTGCTGATGCACGGCGCTGAGAGCAACGAGCAGAATGTCAAGTGGCTCTACAGGCAGCCAGAGAGCTCTGACAATCTGAATGAAAAAGACGAAGCAAAAGAGACACACTGGTCATTTCACCTTTGTCTGTGTATGATACTGAGCGCCTCCACTAGCAGCCACACTCCTGGGTGCCCTGTGGCTGAGCACGGCGAGGAGAACGGAGCTGTCGTAACGCAGCGTCCCCATATTGGATACCTGAACCCATCCTCTCTGGATCCAGTTCACCTGAAAGAGACAGACAGGGGGGAGGGGCAGAAGCATGATGGTAAGGGATTTTGAGAAGAACTGTTTTCTAACACAAGAACAGAATGCAGATCATAAACAGTACATTGGCTGCCAGTTGTTTCTCTTGTTGAGTCCCTGCTGGAATTATGGGCAGGTACAAAGTTTAAGTCCTTAAATCATGGAGATTTGTTTCTGGCTTTCACTTGGAAAAAGTCTATGATGTAACGGTTATGGGTGAGGAATGGGGTTCCTACCTGACTCTATCTTGTTGAGGATTTTGCGAGCACACTGCACAAAGGCCTCTTCAACGTTCTCCCCTGTCAGAGCGCTGGTCTCCAGGAACATCAGCTCTGACAAATACAAACACACACTCCTTTGTAAAAAATAAACAACACAATCAATTGACCAGCAGTGTAATTCTTAGCAGAACCGATTAAAATGCAATTCTCTCTGAAATGTTTTTTTCCCCCCACTAAATCCCACACTGCAGATCCTACCGTTCTCCTGTGCGAAGCGTGACGCCTCCAGGAATGTGACCTCCCTATCAGCGTCCAGGTCCTTCTTGTTTCCACACAAGATTATGACAATGTTCTGACTGGCGAGCATCCGGGCATCGCTCAGCCATGTGGTCAGAGCGTTGTATGTCTCTCGACTGCAGTGAGTGGAGAAAGAGAGGCAGCAGGAAGAGACGCGTAGAAGAAGTGGAGAGTTGCATAAATACAAAAAAAGCTTTGATGATGATGATTCTGAACTTATGTTTTGTGATTGGAGGATGTACCTGGTAATGTCATACACCAGCAGGGCACCTGCTGCTCCTCTGTAGTAACTCCTGGTCACAGACCTGACACACACACACACACACAAATCATGCCAATCTGGATCACTACACTAGTTTTACAAATTCCAGGTTTCAATTTTCCTAATATAAATTTATGATTTTGAAATATTTTGAAAATATGCTGAACATGTCTTTGGCAAGTCAAATTGTCCACCAAAAACATGTTTTTATTAGATCTCCATAAAACTGAACTGTAGAGAAGAAAGTAGGAATTGTTCTTTACCTGAACCGTTCTTGTCCTGCTGTGTCCCAAATCTGAAGTTTGACCATTTTGTTGACCACGTTGATGATCTTGGAGCCAAACTCCACTCCAATCGTGTGGTTGGATTCATCTTTGACTGGAAAACAGAAAACAGAAAAGTGATGTAGCAATATTATCAAATAACTGCGATACATCATGGCTTACCCTGCAGCATGTCTTCTTAGGAAGGAAAATGCACAGCACAAGACATTAATTATTAATATCCACACATTACACATACCTAGAGGCAGATCGTTGTCTCAGACCTACGTTGAATATGCCTAAAAGGTGTTGATTACTCACAAACATTCTGTGCATTGTGCTTCACACATGAACATGATGTCAGCATTTGTCGGTGCAGACTTTGTCTTATCCTAAAACTCTTAGACATCACATTACAAGTCTGAGCAGATATCAAACCCACCAAGAGCAAGGGATGAATGGTGTGTTGCATCTTTCTGACTTACATCTCTTCTCTATGAACTGGTGCAGCAGACAGGATTTGCCTGTTCCAGCGTTCCCAATCACCAGGAACTTAAACAGGAAATCTAAGATGGGAAATCAGGAACAATGAAGAATACATACACAGCACAGAATAAGATTTGGCTATTGATACAAAAACAAAGACATGAGCTTAACTAACAGACAAAAGACAAGGTTATTATAGGTGAGGGATCATTTAATTTAGCTGATATCGATCAAGAAAAGGCAGTACATAAATATCACAGTTATGTTTGATATCATGGTAATGGAAATGGTTTCAGCATTATATTGTTTATAATGTTAAAATGTTAATTTTAATGTAAATGTTCTGCTTAGTCCATATCTTGGTCACAGTTACATTTACAAGGAATGTTGTAACTTTGGTTATATCATTTGTACTTGATTGATCTGATACAGGCAATTTATCTTGATGCATACAGTTAAGCAGCTGTTGTGATCTACATGAAGCTCATTCTGTGGCATGTAGCAATTAGATTTTATACAAAAACAAACAAACTGTACATTGACATTGAGTAGTATACCAGCTTCAGCCTAAAGCCATGATCAATATAGTATTAAATCATCATTGAGGTATGTCTGGTGACTTCACAGAACATAAACAGATCTTCAGCTCTATCATCCGCAGCCCTGTGTCAGCTTCCTGTCCGCTAACCTCAGTGAGCATCACAAACCAACAAACTCGACACATTTGGTCCCAAATGAACTCTACTACATGAGCTCTAAGGTAATACCAACGCTGACATGGCATTTTCTAAGGCCACCAGCCATTACCAAAGGCTCAGTTAGCCTGCCAGCTATCTATTTACGATGGGAGAAATGTCTCTCGGCACACCTGCCTCCTCTCATCGTTTGTGGCTACATGAAGATGGAGAAGGGGGAACAGGCTCCTTACCGTATGACTCCGACATCGCCAGCCTGGCGCTCTGACAGCAAAGAGGAGAAAGGGGAGGAAAACTATTTGACAGATGGATAGCTAGCTAAGTACAGGAAAATATTCCTGTTGGTGGTTTCCGCGGACTACAGCTGATTTTGCCATCCGACTTCCCGTACGTGGTTTGTGTCTTCAAAATAAAAGCCACATCAAACGAGCAAAACACAGTGTTTCTTTCTTTTTTTATTTTCTTAAATACTTTATTGCAGGCTGTTTTACTACATTACAAATTGTCTTATTTCATCACATATTTTGTTCATCCTGGCACATTTTTATAAATATATTTTTTTAACATACAAGAATACATACAACATGAAATAAAATAAAAAATCCAAAGAAAAGGTACAAAGAGAAAAAAGATAATTAAAGAGAAAAAAGGTAATTGACATTGCAATAACAATAACATTGCAGAGTTTCAAGGTGACCACAAGGTGGTGCTGATTTACAAGATTAAAGTATGTTAGCTTTCTGAAACAGCCATTTAAACTTCATTAAAATATAACTGGAAAGTTGAATTATGTTTCATAAACGTTTTATTTAGTTGACCATGAAGCACTGTTATTTATATAATTTAAAAATAACTATGATTTCTTTATTTACAGTAAATAACATCCCCCCCTTGTACTCCAGTCCAGAAGGGGGCGACCACGTACCCGGATGGAAGACAAACACCAATAAACCAACACGAAGCAGACAACGAAGAGGCTAGTGAGCTAGCCTTACTGAAGGCTAAACTGAGCAAAATATGGCTACTGTACTCCCCGTTAGACCGCCCTGCGAAAGCAATCCCGCTACCCCTGGAGCACAATCCATAAAGGTAACATTTACACTCCCAGAAAACACAAGAAACATAAGAAACACAAGAAACACACTGGTTCATGTTTGTTGTGCTCGGGAAGCACCAAGTCTCTGCGTGCGATGCTAACGACTAGCCAGCTATCAGACGGCTCTGTGTCCATGAATGAAAACAACGAGCTGTAGTTTATTTATCATCTTTGTTTTAAATGTGTAGTTTATTTATCATCTTTGTTTTAACCCCTCTAATGTGTTAGAAAGTTGCACACACCTTTTGTGTTAGCGGGTCACCATGATTTAAATCAGCCTAAAATACTCTAAAAACAATCATTCTCATCCAATATTGTTTTTCACCTTATAACTAAGTTATTATGCAAAGACTGGTTTAAATGAATTTGTATGGTCCCATGGGACTTTAAACTTGCAATATACCACTCGTTTTCAATTAAAAAAATATACAAGTTCATGCATTGTATTTTATTGAATATAAGTAAATCGGTATTTATGTTATCTGACTGTAATAGACTAATACTAGAACAAACTTTCTAGAATGAATTACTTGTGATTGTTTTAAAAATGTATATTTTTAACCATAGTGACATCTGTGGTGTTAGGGGTCAAAATAGACCCATATCGATTCATGTTAGAAAGAATGTCAAAAGCCATTTATTTATATACAGTAGAACCATATTTTATTTTGCATAACAAATCAGGTGTAAATTGCCAGGTGGATTGAGAATTCTTGTGTTTATAAAGCTTTTTCTGAGGATATCATAAAATCTTGTGCCAATAAAAAACTAAAAGGCATTTTTTACATACCTGAAGTTGAAAACGGGTCAAAATGACCCTAACACATTAGAAGGGTTGTTTTAAATGTACATTAACTGCTTGTGTTGGCGAGCTTTTTTACAAGTTGTGCCATCAAACACTTGTGGTTTTCTCGTTTCGTGTACCTGTAAGATACCAAAGTCAATTTATAAGTGGTTTGACATCGACATTTTTAGCTTTATTATTTGCCTTTAGTCTACCCTGTTTAAACATGGCAACTCGCTACAAAATTTCAGTGATAAAGCATGCAAAATGTATTTTCCCCTCTTAAGTGGTTGATGCCTGAAAATATTATTTTATGGTCGGTTTGCCGTATAGGACTCCTCTTGTCTGCATAATAAAGGACCACACTAAGAACAGGACTAGTGACCTCACAAATTAAACACATTGATGTAGACTGCTCAACTTTTCCTCCTAAGCCTCCTCGCAGATGTAATACAAGTCGACTTTATGTGGACTTTATAAAATGCGGCTGGAAGTGTTTTTAACTGCGTTGCGTTATATTCCATTCTAACTATAATATATTATAACTTACAGTATAGCTACAGTCTCTTTTAGTGGTTGTTGCCTGTGGATTGATGTGACTGTGGTGTATGAGGACATTTCAGCTATGATGGCATATCAACATTAAGACTATGCTGTATTAAAAAACACCCTGTGAACTTGCTCTTTTTGTCCAAATTCTAACAAACTGGGATGTTATCAGCCTAAATATTGAACTACAGGTGCCCTCTGAACAGCAAAACACATTCTTCAGTTGGAATTTGGGCTTAATAAAAACTAGAAGGCATTGTTATATTGTATTATATATTTTTTTCACTGTCTTTCACTTTCAACCCCACTTTGTAAATAAGCATGCTTTGTGGAATTTTCTGACATCGTATTACACTATTATTAAAATGTACATGTGAAAACATTAGTTTTATTCCCTTTTGCTCTGTAGGAGGATGTGATAGAAGAGGTGTCCAACGATGGCAGCCAGCCTCCCAAGAGAAGGAGGATGGGTTCTGGGGACAGTTCGAGAAGCTGTGACACCTCCAGTCAAGATCTTGGGTAGGTTTGCTTTTTAAAGCAGTCTTGCGGTCCTAAAGGGACTATAGAGAAAACCACAATCTTTAATGTTTGTTTTTTTAATCAAGTCCTCTGCCTCCTTCCAGACCGACATATTTCCCAGCAGAGAACCTGACAGAGTACAAGTGGCCTCCAGATGACACAGGAGAGTATTACATGCTGCAGGAGCAGGTCAGCGAGTATCTTGGAGTAACGTCCTTCAAGAGGAAATACCCTGGTAAGACTGACATGGCAGTATTAGATAGTACTGTACTTGCTCAAAGGATTTAGAGTAGCTCTTTTCCCGACTTATCTGATGTTAAGAATTAAGCAATATTGTTTCTTTTATATTACTCTGTAGATATGGAGAGGAGAGACTTGTCCCACAAAGAGAAGCTGTACCTGCGTGAACAGAACGTCATCACTGAGACACAGTGTACTCTGGGTAATAGCCAAACCTAAAACACTGAGATTGTTTCACATTGTTGCTCTACATTATCTTTAAATTCTTTCAGTATATGGACCATTTCTTTGTTTACTAGATTCATTCTGTGTATCTGTTGTATATGTCAAGGCCTGACAGCTCTGCGGAGTGACGAAGTGATAGATCTGATGATAAAGGAGTATCCTGCCAAGCACTCCGAGTATTCAGTCATACTGCAGGAGAGAGAGCGACAGAGAATAGCTAAAGAGTATTCTGTAAGTATACATACCTAAGTAATAATCTGGGGTTTGTGATTATAAGGGCATTTTATTTAAAGTTATGCCTTTAATAAAAGTCCTTCACATACCACTCAGAGAGTTTGTCTTTTATCTTTCATAGCAAATGCAGCAGCAGAACCCTCAGAAGGTAGAGGCCAGCAAGGTTCCTGAGTACATTAAGAAGGCGGCTAAAAAAGCTGCAGAGTTCAACAGTAACTTCAACAGAGAGCGTATGGAAGAGAGGAGAGCGTACTTCGACCTCCAGACACATGTAAGTTAACTCTAATGGTTCCATTTTGGTTTGAATTGAGAATTGATCAGAATTAGTTTTAGATATTTGTCGTCAAAATTAAAAATAGGGTTGAAGATTCTCTCTGTGTTTGTCCTACTCTTCTTTGTACATGTGTAGTACCTTGAATATTTACTTAAGCATTTGTAATAAGATCTTTCTCTAAGATTACACTAAATATCTGACACCCCTCTTATCTCACCACTTAAAGAAATTCAGAAAATAGATATTTTTTGTTAACCTTGGCTTCTTGGTCGTTGACATGCGTTGTATTTTCTGTATTCTCTCAGATTATCCAGGTGCCCCAGGGCAGGTTCAAGGTTCTGGCTCCAGAGTTGACAAGGACAGGGCCGTACCCTGTGGCTCTCATACCCGGACAGTTCCAAGACTACTACAAAAGGTACAAAGCATTTTCCTCACTATACCACTCTCTTGTACCCACAATGATACGCTGGAAAGTTATGCAATCTTGCAAATCTGATGATATGGGTTTTTTTTTTTTTATGATAGTCTGCTACCTGTTTTGATGTGCTGATGCACAATTGTTGTTCATGACAGGTACTCCCCAAATGAGCTACGATACTTGCCATTGAACACAGCTCTGTTTGAGCCTCCACTGGATCCAGAGCTCCCAGCTCTGGACTCAGAACCTGATTCTGACGACGCAGAGGACGGAAAGGGTGACAAAAAGAACAAGAACTCCTCTGTAAGACATTGTCAGATAATATAGCCATCATTGATTAACTCTTGACATGGAAGCAGATTACTATAAATCAGTGTTAGATCCCTTGTATTCAGTTTCCCTCCCTCCTCCTTTGTTTGTCTCCAGGACAGTTCTTCAGGCAACACATCAGACGTGGAGAGCCAGGAGGGAGCAAGTGGACCAGGTAGCAAGTCGAAGGCCAAAGACAGGACTTCGACGCCGGGAAAAGACAGCAGCCGCCATTCTGCCTCCCATAAAGCCACCCCAGGGTACAAGGTAGAAGACAAAACCACCTGAACTCTTCTCCAACAACAGCAGCAGCACTTTCTACCCCCTCCTCTTTCTACTACTACCACTCCCTTACTCCATCCATCCTGCCACCCCTCCCTAGCTTTCTTCACTTTGTTCTCCGGCTTCTACAATTTGATCCATTTTTTAAAAAGCTGGGACAACCTGCTCCCCACAAACAAACACAAACACACACAGCAGGGCCTGTCTTCAGTTTTTGTTTTTTTTCTGATGCCACGTGGCTTTCCCCCCTCTTCATACCAGACTGTGAGCAATAAGAACATTTTAAAGGAACAGTTCACTTGTTTCTTTTTCCCTGCACTTTTCACTTTTTGTGTTTTAAGTGAAGACAAATCTGAACTTTAGACATTTTTTTTTTCATTTTGAATGTCTTCAATATACCTCTTGTCTGTCCTCACTTGTCAAAAACGATTCATCTGAGACAAGTTAGTGGATGTTTTGGCTGCTAGTTTTCCTTTTTGAATAGCAAAGTCTTTTTGTTATACTGATAGAGAAAATATAAACCACAACAAGTTTGTGGTTGCTTTAAAAAAGTAGTAAATCTTAACACTAGAGAATTTTAACATTTATATCTGAAGTGTTGAATGCACTCAACCCTTATGTTTTAAGTATGTTCTGGTATGATGCTTTGTTTGTACAACATGTGATGTACTGTTAATCTGTTAATAAGAATGGGCAGACATGGGCTCTGCTTGTCCCTATAATGTTACATTGAAGAGCTTAGGACTGGTTGACCTTGGTCACACTGTTGCTGAGCTGAGCTAACAGTAGTGTCAGTTTGTCGGTCTGGGCCACGAGCCCCACATCATCTTCCTGACCCAGTCAGTGGCTCGTCTTTGGTGGCCATTTGAATTTGATAACTTTCAATTGTTTGAGGGAGAGTTGATAGAGAAAAAAGTGAGCCAATCAATTCCTTTGATTTTAACACATTTTAACATTGAAGAAAGAAATTCCAAAAGATAAAAAATGTTGGTAAGCTTCTATTGATTGGAGTATGATGTTTCTGGATTAGTCCAGTTGAGTTCAGCTCAGCTTTGTGGTGTGGGCATGGTCCTTTTCTAGAGTCTGTTTAAAATCGTACCAGTTTTAGTGTAGCTGCTAAGTTTGATTGAACTTAAATTTATTTAATTTAACTTTTTTTTTTTTTAATCAGATCATTCTAGAGATTTTGCATGCTGGTACAATACTGTTTAATAAGTCAGTACCATAATACCTTTTATAGTAACTATTTGCGATACAGTACAAAAGTATCTAAAGAAGGAAAAGCTTTTTGGTTACTCTTCAGTTGTTTTCCATCATTTTGAAACTGAAAAAAATTGTCCCCCAGGGGTCAAATGTACCACTCCCCCTATTTAAATGGTTGCCCCTTTACACAAAGTCCCGGTAGAGGGACGAGTTTACTGATTTGTAGTGACTGGCATGTCTCTACAGCTGATCAACGTTACTCCGCTCTGGTCCGGCTAACATGGAGAGTATGTGCACTGCTTCATGGTGACCTCATGATGAGTGATGTGCTATTTTATAAACAGCTCATGAATAAAAAATAATTCTGAACATCAGAGTTGAAGTTAGATTTTCTATTTGCACACAGACGTTCTTCATTCATATTGTGTTACATGTTGCATGTTTCATACATGTTTAACCTTTATTGCACCATTAACATAATTTTGCTCTCCATGAGACGACATGAGAATGTGCAGTGTTTCATTCTCAGAAAGTTTAGGGTTTTTTTTTGTTGATGTTGAATTTGTCAAAAGGTTTGAAATCGGATGGTGATGGTTATGACTACAACCTGCACGTCTGGGAACATTTCGCCTCACTGAAGAATGCACGTTAGGACCAGGCTAATAGGAAATTATAATGCACGGCTAAGGTTAGCATTTTTTGCAGAGACATAATCATAAGATATGTCAGTAAAAAGAACAACTGAAGATGTTCAGTCTGTATGTCTGCCTCTGTGTCTGAATTATTTATAATGCTCCGAGCTTTATGTTCATACTGAAGCCATCAGGTCATATTAAAGCATACATGCCGGGAGTAATAGTCTGAGCATGTTTTTGCCTTAATTCCTATAAAAAAAACCTAACATTTTTTTAAATTAAACTGATTCATCTAATTGGATTTTAACCTGTGTGGATTTATTCTACTTCGGGGATGTTTGAAGTGTGCAGTCATGAGGCTGAACATGTAAAACGTTTCATAGGGCCATGTGAAATGTTCTAGAGTCTATTCACAGTAGCTCAGGTTGCTCCTCTGAAAGAAGACCTCAACACTGACTTTTAAAGAAGAATGTTTTTGAATATATAAATATGGATATATTGCCATTGAACTCCTCCGTTTTTCCTATTTCCCTCTCCTGCTGCTGTCTCTTTTCGATAATTCTCTGTTGCAATTTTCATTATTACCAAACCATGACCTTTTGTTTGTACCCATTCCTGTTAAGTTTAGTCTAACCTGCTTTCAGCTTTTTATGGGACATTTGAATGAATGATGTCATTAACTTCATGCTTTAAAGTCTCTGGAAATGTTGCAGATTTAACAACAAATACAGACACACTAAAGTACTGGGGGAAAAATACACTATCTTACATAAATAGAGATTTTCTTCATATCAGGAATTCTTTGACAAGAACTGTGCTGAAACCAAATGTTTGCACATATTGTTCTGCACTTAGTATCTCTTGCACTCTTTGTTTTTAAGTTGATGAAGGCTACTTCAGTTTCAGTATAAATGTCGGCACAGTCTTCTCTGTTTTAAATGAATGGCTTGCTGTAAGGTGATAAATGTCTCCTTTATGTGATGTCCTGATTTAAATGTCCCTAACCCTCCTGATTCCGCTGTGCTGGTTCTTTCCTCTCTCCCTACTAAACGTAGAGATGTTTCATAGAGAGCAACTCTTCAGATGTCAATATCCATGTCTAATAAGATTGAGCTCTGTTGCACAACAGGAGACGTAGCGCATCTTTATAACTGCTCTCCGAGATCCTTCAAGTCAATAAATTGTTAAGTGAGCCACTGCTTCAACACAATGACAAATAATCCTCTGTAATGACAGACTCCACATGCTGACACGAGGGTCTGTTGGACAACATGTGCGTGTCTGTGCTGTATATCTACCTTGAGATTGATTCTTAGTTCTTTCTAGTGCAGGGGGCCCAGTAGTCTGGGCGTCTCCTTACCAACAAGCCGCTGATCAGCCCCCAGAAGTGCAGAAATAACAAGCAGGTTGGCAACATTAGAACAGAGATGGACAGTATCTTTGATGCGAGGGAAAACAAGCTTTGTCTCAAGTGTATAAATAGATCAGACCTGACTCTTCCAAATCAGTCCTTGTTTTTTCAGTCATGATTCTTGTCTTGAACCACTTTATTGTCCATGAATACAGGAATATCGTGGTTTTATAGCATTATTCTGCCTTGCAGCCTAAGGTCATTCCCAATGCTATATGTGGCATTTGCCAGAAGGGTAAAGAGGCCAACAAGAAGGGCAAGCCAGAGGCTCTCATTCACTGCTCCCAGTGTGATAACAGCGGTAAGTTCACAATGTTTATATTTAAAGGACACATTCCTGTTTTTCTATTAAGAGCATTTGTTTCCAAAAAGTTTACGTTGGCTTGATAAAAAAATGATCTAACTGAGAATCGATTTGATACTAATTTCAGCTGTAATCATAAATATAGCTCTCAAATGTTACGTCACTGATACATGAATGATATGAGTTTAAATTTCAATGTGAATCATTCACCTTGTCTAGTTTTTTATTTGATAAAACTTCAACTCATTCTGTAAAATGCAGCTCTGTAAAAATGTTTTTACTGACCATTTAAAAGATTATGAGTGTTTACATCTCGTTAGTGAAGCTTGTGTTTTGTCTCAAGTAATATAAATCAATTCTAATGTATCACTGTTGTACAGCTCTTTAAGTAACTGTTTTGTACAGTGAGTCTGAACATTAAATGTCTTTTATATAAACCAGTTTTAAAAACATTGGTGAAATACAGAAAACCATGTCAAAACCATGACATAACCCCCCCCCCAGATAGTCCTGATAAATACCCCCGTCTCTGTATGTATGTGTGCCTCTGTAAATGTGTCTCCCTGTCCATAAACTTCAGGCCACCCGTCCTGCCTGGACATGAGTCAGGAGCTGGTGGGTGTGATCCAAACATACCGCTGGCAGTGTATGGAGTGTAAGACCTGCACCGTGTGCCAACAGCCCCACCATGAGGACGAGATGATGTTCTGCGACAAATGTGACAGAGGATACCACACGTTCTGTGTGGGGATGGACTCCATACCCACTGGTGAGTGGATGGAAACATATGAGAGCACATTGTGTAGTGAACATAAACACACATTGCATTTTTGAATGGCATCTAACTGTGTGACTGGACAACAGCACTATAAAAACAGAAATAAGACTAACTCACCCAGTCGTTCAGTTACTCACCAACATTGAAAATGTGATTATTGTTTTTTTTTAAATACTTTATTTAAAGCATTGTCTTTGTACATACACACACCATGCAGTTACAGAGAACATTTAGGGTCTGCATAAACAAAAAGCATGTTTGGTAACAATTCAATCATTCTGTCTCTGCAGGCCTCTGGGTGTGTGAAGTTTGTGATTCCAATTTCAACACACCCAAGAAGAAGGGAGGAGCCAAAACACCCAAGAAGGCCAAATCTGCTAAGAAATAATCAGCTCTACGAGAAACTGCTGTACCCTGACCAAATGTTACACCAATGCACTGTCTTTTTAAAAGCTGTTCAATTCTCAAACGTCACATCATTGCATTCCAAAAATTAACAAAAAAATATATGTAGCCCTTCCTCCAATTACCAGGAGTGGAAATACAAGATCTTTACGGCATGTTGTCATATAAGACCTTCACTCGCCTGCTATGGAGGGATTGACAGGTAAAAACAAACATTAAACAAAATGTCTTGAATCCAAGGAAAAACAGATTTCTGCAAGAAAAACCTTTAATAGTACAGCCGTTGGAAACATTAACTTAAGCAAAGCAACAACTAACATTTGACTGAACTCCAGACACTATAAATACATCCATACATAATGTTGACAGCTACACTGTAAATAAAGTAAAACATAATCTAAATGTACTGCAGTAAATCCTGCCATGGGTTGACCACTAACAGTTTCAGTGCATTACTTATTTAAACTAACTAGTCTCGTAGTTAAAGTCTCATAGCTGCAGTGATAAGCTGTAAGTGTGAAAACTGTCTTATTCAGACCAATGGTGCTTTCGATCAACAACTACTGAAACAATATCAACAAGAGTTCACTTGTGTGCATCTCTTACTTTCAAAACAACATTTTTGTATGTCTTTTTGTATCTCATAACCTTAAGTTGGTGTTTTTTTAATTAACTTAATGAGCCAGGCCAGTGAAGAGCAGTCTGAAATGATGACATGGTGCTATATAGTGATCCTTTGTAATGAATAGATGCTGGCTGTGGTAGACAGCAATCATCAGGTATTTATGTTTGAGTCTTGATTACTGACACCAAGTGATTCTATTTATGTGTCGGTTTTGTTGTCAGCCCTCCACTATTCATTAGAATCACATGTAACCACTGTAATACATTCAAATTAAAAATCAATCAGCTCTAGTTAGTCAGCTGGTGTTTTTGCAGTCCGTTTGAAAGTTTTTCTTTCTTTTTTGTAACTTTGAGTGTTTCTATTTTGTATTTTCTTTCAGTAAGCAGTTTTTTTTTCATTGTACTTGTTTCTAAAAATGTTGCTGAATTCAGTTTTTGTTTGTTTTTTAAATAAAAATAAAAGCTACCTTAAAAAAGACTCATTTATACATGACAGATTGTTTATCATACAAGAAATTCCGTGGCAAATATTAGCTGAAAAAGATAAATGCTTACTCCTCGAACCTCATGAATCGAAGCATTGAGCATTTTTGTTACATATTCTTAATTAGACTATACTCAAAGAGTTTCCAAGAGCCACCAATACTAAACAACTTGTAAGAGAATGTGGTTTTTTGATGTCCAATGAGGATTTTGATGTCAAGTTTACACAGTATACAGTATGTGCTAGATCAGATCTACTACTATTGATACGACCCTGTGATTGCTGCTTCCGCAGCGATTGTATTTCCACCATCAGTAAAGCAAATTGCTCACAACTCACTACAAAACACTACTATAACTACTAGCCAAAAATGAACTACCCAAAGTGTTTACTTACATTTACCAACAGAGCACTATGTATTTAAATGCATTAAAATGATTGAGAGCTATGGCACCAAGTTGTTCATGGCTTACCATCAACATGTGTTATTATTAGTAAGTATACACATTGTGATTTTTATTTTTTATATTCCCTTTCTATTTGTGCATGCTAAAATGTAAGTTATTGGCTACCTGCAGTGGTTTAAAAAGCACAGAATTTTACTTAATACCACTGTACTATTACTTCATACTTGGCTGTTTCAACCTGCACTTCCTGCCTATGTGTTCATGATTAAGATTCAAATTATAATTGGATAAACTCCTATAAAAAAAAACCACGTCAATAGGATGAGATGTGTTTTTCTTTTTTAATTTTCTGTGTCATTATCCCTTATACAGATGTAATCTACTTTGTAAGTCGTCCAATATGTCTAGGGGATATGATTTACTGGTAATTGCTCAATGTGTGAGTGTATTCTGCTTGACTCATTGATCCATTATATAAAATACTTTTCCCTAGTAATGAAGTTATCTCTCTTTTAGGGGACAAATGACCGCAGATATGTTTGCTTCATAGACTGTATTTATTTATTATACTGTCTATGGTTTGGTTATGCTCATACCCACTCTCCTGTGTTCGCGCCTGCTCTCATCAGGCAGCCTGTGGGGGCGCTGTGGTGCAGTCTACAGCTGAACACGCGGCTGTAACGAGTAAAAGAAGAGGCTGCCATATTGCAGTGATACAGCGACTTTACTGGATTTCATCTTGAGCACTGTTTGTGTTCATATCAGAAAAATGCTTTCGGCTCAAACATTTGGTGGTGGTCCTGGCAAGATGAAAGATTATCATTACACCGGTCCCGTAGAGCACCGGTTTTCTCCTTACGCTTTCAACGGAGGGTGAGTGTGAATATCTTCAAATGCTGGCTAGTTAGCATGTGAGCTAACGGACTTAGCTAACTAGCAGAGAACGAATCAACACAAAGATAAAGTTGAGAACAAGTGTATGATCGGGGCAGGGTTAATTTCCCCAAAGTATAATCCTCTTTATTTAATCCTAACTTTCTATTTAACACGATTAGCCACTCTTTTATAATACAAATCTTCTAGTTTCAGTTTTGAATCCTAGCTTCCGTCAGCAAAGCGTCTCTGAACACTTTACTTATTCTCTTTTAGTTTGGTACTTTACAAGATGAATTAACTTGCCTGTGTTGTATTTTAGGACTGTATTAGCTGTTGCCGGAGAAGACTTTGCCATTGTAGCCTCAGACACCAGGCTGAGTGAAGGCTACTCAATCCACAGCAGGGATTCACCAAAATGCTACAAGCTGTAAGTGTGCACTGTCACTGATGCAGACCTGTGGTTTATGTGCAGCTCCTGGTTTGTGCTCAGTGAATAGATACCAAACTCCCCAACAAAGTCCTAGAGGGGTTTGTGGCTAATAGAAAAGCCTACTGCCCTGAGTGTCACTGAATAATGTACTTCTCCTTCCCTTTTATAACTATATTTCTACTGCTATGTTGTGTTTTAATGGTCATTTTAACTATAATGACTGAATTTCCCTCTGGGATTAATAAAGTGATTCTGATTACAGGACAGACACAACGGTCATCGGCTGCAGCGGTTTCCATGGAGACTGTCTGACTCTGACTAAAATCATCGATGCCCGGCTAAAGGTGTGCTGATGCTGCAAGATGTTTTTGTTTCACTCTCTCTTTGCTGCATTCATCACAATTCTTCCTGCCCCTGCTTGTACCCGAGCAGTGTCAGTTGATGATGGTGATACCGATAACAAAGTGAACAGACGCCGATATTCCAGTGTGTCTTCATGGCTATACTGTGTTAATTGAGTCTTAATTGTCCGTATAATCTCTCATAACAATTTTCTAGGATAGTTGTTGCGTTGATGATATTTGTTTACAGAGTGTACAAACGTCTGAACTAATGCCCTGCCCATCTCTCAGATGTACAAACACTCAAACAACAAGTCAATGACTAGCGGAGCCATCGCAGCAATGTTGTCAACCATCCTGTATGGAAGGAGGTTCTTCCCCTACTACGTCTACAACATCATCGGTGGACTTGATGAGCACGGTGGGTACTGCCATTATCAAGATGGGATTATGTTGGGTCGCAGGTAGCCTAGCGTTTAGAGCATGCAGAGGCTTAAGTTCTTAAGAGCGTGTGGTCTGGGATCGAATACGACCCGTCTCCTTTTCTGCATGTTGTTCCCCAGTCTTTCGCTGATTTCTGACTGTCAATTGTCCTTTCTCTAAAATAAAAGGATAAAAGCCCAAAATTAAACATGGGTCAGTGTAATTTAAATAAGTATCAGTATGTCTGTAAACACAAATGTAATGTATTTTGTCTCCATGTTTCACGTATTTGATGATTGTAAGCAGCAGTTATTGGTTTTTGCTTTTATTTTACTTTTGTTTTGTTATTTGTTGCATCTTTTCCTTATCAAGGTTTTTGTAACAATTTGTTTTATTCTCAATATGTTTGGAATGCAGGCAAGGGAGCAGTGTACAGCTTTGACCCCGTCGGATCCTACCAGAGAGACACTTATAAGGCCGGTGGATCAGCAAGTGCCATGCTACAACCACTTCTAGACAACCAGGTAAATATCACACTGTATACTGACTTATTGCTGCTCTAATCCCAGTGTGTTTATGTTATTAGATAATCAGACAATCTGGTGCGACAGCCAGGTTTCTAAGGGCACATTCATATCATCTCTCTTTTCCACAGATTGGTTTCAAGAACATGGAGGGTGTAGAGCAAGTTCCCCTGACTAAGGACAAGGCGGTTCAGCTGGTCAAAGATGTCTTCATCTCTGCCGCAGAGAGAGACGTCTACACTGGAGATGCACTTCGGATCTGCATCGTCACAAAGGAGGGCATCGATGAGCAAACAGTACCTCTGAGGAAAGACTGAGGAGGGAATTCTTCCCCTTCTCTGTGCTTTTCTCTTTGGTTTGTTCTTTCCACATTCAACCTCTTGGTTTTGTCCTTTGATATCAAGTTTCTTAAAATAGGAGTGTTGATCCAGAAGTTGTTTCTAGTGACCTCTTTAACCGAGGAGCTGATATTCCATTTTTTATATTTACTCACTGTACACACCAACCAGAATCTTTCTCTTTATCATCCTTTCAACAATTATCCTCTTTAATTACAACCTTTTATCTGCGTTCTTACAATTTCATTGTAGATCAGCACTTCTGTTCAAAGAGGCAAGAAACTTGTCACTCAACTCTGGCTACATTCTTAGTCTGTTGGGATTTACCATTATTTCGGAAGGATACATGCCCTGCTGTTATTTTTACATTCTTAATAAATGTAAGGAATTGAAAAGTATTGTCTCATTATTTTATGTCCTTTATTCATAAAGTTGATCACAAAGCTTACGCTGCCTAAAGTGATGCAAAATAGTTTCAGTTATGCTTTTTGACATGTATAAGTCTTTCTGAAAATAATATAACCATGAAAAGTACTCTGGAAATGAAATGGAAGAGCTGGGATCAGTATGTGTCTCAAAAATGTTTTACTTTAAACCATGACCTGATCATAAGTTGAGTCATCATGAGTTTTTTAAATGTTGATATAACTACTTAATGACTCAATTTAGAGATTACCCATGCTCTGCAGTGTCGTTTTTCTCTATTCCTTGATGATAATTTATGTTTGAACATAAATATTTAAGGCTCTATAAGAGGAAATATTCTGATTAGAGGGCTTTAGACTCTTTTCTGGGTTCATATCACCACACAAGTTGTATTTATTTCCCCAAATGCACTATCACACTAAATTTATATTCTCTACCACAGTTTAGTGTTTTATTTTTCAATCTATTGATAAAGTTTTGGGTGCAAAAGCATAGCTGTTTATTAGTCTTTAGAGTAGAATAGAAAGTTTCCAAAGTACATTTCATTACAGGTAAGCTCAATGTGCTTTACATACAAGAGACAGATAGCTATCTCAACAATCATGTATATGATAAAGAAATCAAATTAGGAACAAAACAAAACATGGTACACAAAGAGTAACTATTCGTATGCTTGAGAGAAAATAGGTTTTGAGTTTAGCTTCAAAAGTAGAGACAGTTGTGATGGACCTTAGGTCAACAGGTAGTGAAGGACCAGAGTAACTAAAGTCCCCGTCTCCAGACTTTGATCCAATTCATTGTACGACTAACAGACCTTCACTTGATGACCTAAGGGCCTTGGTAGGGTTGTAGTCTGTGAGCAAGTCAGAAATATATTTGGGAGCTGAACCATTGAGTGCTTTATGGACTGAAGGATTTTGAAGGTGAGTCTGTGTTGAGTAATCTTCTAAACTGCCTGACACCTTTAAATACTTGGCACAATGAAATGATGCAGTTCTACAAAGGTGAAACTGCACATGATTGAACTATTTATAAAGCAACCAAAGCATTACTTTAATAAATCTATCATACAAGTATATTCACTGATATTAAAAAATAAATAGGGTTAAATAGTACCCTATTATAAGATCTGATGACAGTGGCTGTGGTTGAAATAAATCAGGATTTATCCATCTGGCTCATTTTAACATCAACACCTTACAGGGAGTTATCGCTATGGATACACTGGTAAGTGAAATGAGTGACTCGTAAAAAGCTGTGTACCACATCCAGAGTGCAGCATATCGAGTATATGCAGCTTTTAGTGGGTAAAAATATGAATTTAAAAACTTTTATACTCAAGTCTGGAGTTAAAAATACAGTTAATTTTGTTTCTCTTTTCAAAATTAAAATGGCATTATTTACCTAAAGATGAAGTTTGATGTTGGTTAAAGACAACACACTTTGAATCCTGCTGGTATAAAAGGTAAAGAAAGCCTAATATGTTTTCATATTTCTTTCTGAAACAGTAAAATGTCACAAAATCTACAATACACGTATACTTTATTGTTTTAAATCAGTTAGAACTGGCTCCCTTGAATGCAGTTCAGCCAATTTCAATGCAATTATTGAATCCTGTTCTTAACCTTCTAAGTCTTAATGTCTGCCCAAAAAGAGGACAATACTGTTTGAACTAACCACTCTAATAACTTGGTGTTTTTTTAACCTTCTGTTCTTATTTTAGTTTACCGTCATTAAAAAAACAAAACAAGATTACAAGTAGAAACTAAGATTTGACTAAACCTACGCAGGAATCTGGTCCACAAAATCTCAACTGTCTCTTCTGTTAAATGATTTTACACTTTTGACATTATTCTGCATTATGTGAAAAAAGTGACAAAAGAAAAGGAAACAACATATATTATTTAAATTTTATTAACCCAAATTAACCAGTAACTGTTACAAGTGTCAACACAACAACTGTTTTACTAATCAAAGACTCTCTCACACACAGGCACAGACACATGCAGTGTCTTCAGGCGTAGTACTGCAGGTTAGCCTTCTTCTTAGCTTGGACCTCCAGGATTCCCTCCATGTAGTCTTCATGGTTCAGCTCTGTGGCCCCACGGCGCAGCGCGATCATGCCGGCCTCCACACACACAGCCTTACACTGGGCTCCGTTGAAGTCATCGGTGCAGCGAGCCAGCTCCTCGTAGTTAACGTCAGGACTGACGTTCATCTTGCGAGAGTGAATCTGCATGATGCGGGCTCTGGCCTCTTCATTTGGCATGGGGAACTCAATCTTTCTGTCCAGACGGCCTGAACGGAGCAGGGCAGGGTCCAGGATGTCCACTCTGTTTGTGGCAGCAATCACCTAGAAATTAAAAATACATGTAGTTTAACTTTAGTCATCGGTGTAAAGTAATGTCAATGTGGTGACTGAAAGGTTGGAAACGTTTATTCTAAACTTCTTTGTCATAATTGTTTACGGTCTGAATGTTTATCCATTTCCTCTTTTATTGTTCAGTTTGTGAAAAGAATGATTACGTACCATTTCCTTAAAGAAACAAACTTCATGTTAATATAAAGAAAAGTCCACATACAAAGGTTTTGCACTTTGGAAGAAGTTTGATTCTACACTATTTTATATATATATATTTTGCATTGTTAAGGAGAGCTTGGAACACCAAAATTTCATTGCCAGCTATGACTGCTTTGCCTGTTATGTTGTGCATTTGACTAATAAAGATAACTTGAACTTGATGAATAATATTTTTATTTACAAGACTCTGAACATTTTTGGAGTACTGACTGAGTTATCTTTATTATCTATATATTTAAATGACTTACTGTTTAATATGAGTTTTTCATGTCTTGATGCTTTTTTAATATATCTAAGATTTTGTTTTGTTATATTTTTTTCTCAGGGTTTTTGGATGATGATGCACCCGAACATAGCTTGCAAATTCTCTTTGGCTAGTCTTAAAAACTTCTGGTATAAAAAGGTATAAAATAAACATTACACAATGTAATGAATAGGAAACGGACACAGCATTGGTAAAAACACTTAATGTAAACAGTAAAGGTTTTAATTGAGGCTGCATTCTTACCTTAACCTGCATGTTGGGTTGAAATCCATCCAGCTGGTTGAGCAGCTCCAACATGGTCCTCTGCACCTCCCTGTCTCCTGCCTTCTCGCTGTCAAACCTCTTGGTTCCGATGGCGTCCAGCTCATCAATGAAGATGATGGATGGGGCTTTTTCTTTGGCCAGGGCAAAGGCATCTCTCACCAGCTTGGCTCCATCACCAATGAACATCTGGACCAGCTGTGGACCGGCCAGCTTCAGGAAGGTGGCTTTGGTCTGAGCTGCACAGGCCCTGGCCAGGAGGGTCTTCCCTGTGCCAGGTGGTCCGTACATCAGGACCCCTTTGGGTGGCTGGATCCCCAGGTTCTCAAACTTCTCCTTGTGGTTCATAGGCAGGACGATGGCCTCCACCAGCTCCTGGATCTGCTTGTCCAGACCTCCTATGTCGCTGTACTGCTCTGTGGGGCGCTCATCCACCTCCATAGCCTTGACCCTGGAGTCGTACTCGGTGGGTAAGGTCTCCAGGATCAGGTAGGAGTCTTTGTTGACACCAACCAGGTCTCCAGGCTTCAGCTTCTCTGCGTCCACCAGCCCGATAACAGGCAGGAAGTAGGTCTGTCGAGTGGAGGTCTTAATGACGGCGCATTTTCCTTTCCTTTGAGAGTCCAGGTCAACATTAGCCCCGTCTTCCTCCTGGTCATTGGGGTCCACGTCCAGCAGCTCGATCACATTGGACACCAGGTACGGCAGAGTTTTGTTCACCTTTATCTTCTCCGTGTTTTCTTTGATTTTATCTTTCATAGCCTGCAGCTCGTGGGTCACCCTCAGCACCTCGCTTTTCATAATCTTTATCTCGCTGTCGAGGAGACGAGTTCGCTGAACTATCTCCTCTGTGGACATTTTTAACACTTCTTCGCCGATTCCATCCTCCACTTCGTCCCAAACTGATTTGTCACTCAGCGACGCCATCTTTGCTCTGTCTGCTGTGAACTGTGACACAGCGGAAATAGAAAGCTTCAACTCCCGGAATGATTTCACCCAGAAAGGGGCGGGGCCGGCATCGTTTGGGCAAAGTACCCGTCTTTATTGACAAATTTAAAATATACAAAAATTGTTTATACAAACTCTTAAAGAGGTTGAACATACAACAGCAAAATACAGGAACAAGTTAATTCAAACATAAATCAAGACTAGGGGGATTATATATAAAAAATAAATAAATAAAATCAAACTTTTCCAAAAGAAAACATCAGGCAAATGTAAGCAGACAACAAACTGGAACAAGGACAAAAAAATTCAACAAGGGCCAGAAATCAAAACAAGAATTTCGATAATTCAGCACTAATCTTTCTAGCAATCCTCCTAGATTTCATTTTTTTCAGAGATAAGAAAAAATATTTGAAATCATTTATAAACCAGTCAAAGGAGGGTTAATGTTTCTCCACTTACTACAGTGAATATGATATTTACTCATGAGTAAAATAACATTTACCATGTCAGTAATTGAAGGGTTTAAATTATCCATAAAATAGAGAATACTATAAGTATCAAAAGATGGAATATCATTAATTTTTAGCGACAACCAACTTCTAATGTTGACCCAAAATCTTTGAGACACAGGACAGAATACAAACAAGTGCTCTAAGGTCTCTTCAGATTCACCACAGAAAGAACTGAAGGGTTCACATCAAAATTGAACCTTTTTTTTGAGAAATGCAGCAGTTGGATAAATCTGGTGAATTATTTTAAAATGGGTTTCTTTCACTTTAGGGAAAACAGGCATCTTAATATATATGTAATGTGCTTTAGTCGTAGTAGAGTATTGTAGGAGTATCTGTTTATACCATACTGTTTCTATCACTTTTTAAGTTGTCTTGCTTTACCTTTTATTACTAAAGGCACTGTTGACTATTTAGGTTAAAACGGAGCATGGATCATAAGTTTGCTCTTATTGAATTAAAATGTATTTACCACCAACATAAAAATAGCTGATACTTCAGAGACTAACTTAGTGTCCCGTGACTAAATAAATGAATTATGTGACTATGAATGTTTTTTTTTTTAAATACCAAATAATCTGAATTTTTGAACATTTTACGAGTTCGCTGAACTATCTCCTCTGTGGACATTTTTAACACTTCTTCGCAGATTCCATCCTCCACTTCGCCATCTTGGCTCTGTCTGCTGTGAACTGTGACACAGCGGAAATAGAAAGCGTCAACACCCGGAAGTAGCTGACGACGTCGCTAATGAGCGCCGAAGCAGCAGCAGTGAGGATGAAACCGACCTGCAGCTGATTTTATTCTACTCCTGCGCCAACTTGGTCTGCGTGAGAGTTGAGGTAAGTTCACTATTTATATAATGTGCTGCACTGGCTTGCACTGAAGTAATTATTACCCGTTTTAAGGAAAGAAAGCCACTGTTTTGACTGTAGCCACAACACGTTTGATGTAGTTAGCTTTATTTGCTAATATTAGCGTGGCGGCTAACTTCAACCACTGACTGTGTTGACATATTTCATTAAAGGGACTGGCAATAAATCCTGCTTGAAGACTGCTTGGGATTGGATGTATATTGTTGCTCGTATTATTTAATCCTAACTTTTAAAGGGACACGCCATGTATTGGGACCATAATGAATGAACGCGTGAATTAAAGTTAGATTAGTTGATGCAAACTGTGTTCGCGCCACCGCTGCAGCTGCACCCTCCGTGTCTTTGTATGTTATAATATGTATGTTTTAATTTTATTTATTAGCACACATTTAAGAATACATCAAAATAGGATTATCAAAGACATAAAAGGTGTGTCAGGAGAGGTCAAGAAGCCAACAGGCTTATACAAGGGACCTCACCTCTTAAGAGACAAAAAAAACACATATACAGAACCTATACACGTATTCATACACACACTTAGACACATACATACAATAGAAAGACTGAGAATGTTAACCCCCTATCAGCTAAATGAAACAGGCATTGATCTATTATAAAGGGAGTGAAATGAGTGAGTTGATGGGAAAAAAAAGAAAAGAAATATATTTTATATATGCAAAAGTTTGACCTCATGGATTAAATGTGAAGACAGTTTCCTTTTAAAAATCTCTGTAGACAAAGAGCCGTTAACATGTCTTTTGGAATTCCATATTTGTACCCCACGATATCTGATGGAAAACTTTTATTTATTATCTACAAGTTAATATTGTACGGTGATAAAATAACAACTAATAATATGTTTGTTTGGAACTGTCCGTCTATCCAGGGGAGGCAGTGCTGCTGGAGAGAAGAAACAAGAACAAGGTGTTTCAGCTGAGCAGGTCAGCTGTGGTTTTTGTGTTTTCTGCTGCAACGTTATAGACCTCAGACGCACAGTAGAGGCACCTGCTCTGTGGAGTTGACCACCCTGTGCTGATTCCTGCGCTTTGGTGGCAGAGAACCAACGTGAGAAGCTAAAGAGATGGACCAGAACAACAGTATACCAGCTTTCCAGGGACTGGCCTCCCCACAGGTAATACTGGATTCAGGTATTATGATTAAGACATGTTAAAATGAACTCGCCTTCTCACCACCACAAGCCTCCTGGTTCCCCTCAACATCGTTAGAGTTATCACACGGCTAACTGGGGCGGCAGTAGCTCAGTCTGTAGGGACTTGGGTTGGGAATCGGAGGGACCAAATATGGAAGTTGGTCTGGTAGCTGGAGAGGTGCCAGATCACTTCCTAAGCAATGCCAAGGTGCCCTTGAGCAAGGCACCAAACCCCCTCCCCACCACCAGCTCAGAAGCGCCTCCTGTGGGCAGCTCCGTCACTCTGACATCTCTCTATTAGTGCATGTCCATAGGATCCTGTTTGTGCATGTTTGTGTGTATATTTCAGCCTATGTGTGTGTTGCATGACTACAGAGTGTAAAAACAGAATTTCCCCTTGTGGGATCAATAAAATAAATCTTAATCTTACATCACACTTGTAGCTTGATGAAGCTGAACAGCTAACCGAGCATTGAGGTTTCAAGGTTACAGCGTAAACCTGCATTATGCTAGTTCCTATCCTGCAGCTTTAGCATTAATATTGTGACATTTACAGCTAGTACTAGAGGTCATTTGACACTCCCATAAACAATTAGTAGACTAGTACTACTGCTACTTCATAGGTTTCATAGCTGTGCAGTCAACATTTTTAACTAAATTGTTAAAATCAACATATAGAGCGAGGGTTTAGATCATTTAGAAATGGGCTGTGAGATGCATTCTTACTTCATCATCTGTAATCACAATTGGCTGTTAAAGAGGCTTTCCTACTCAATCTCAAATGCAATTTTATGGTGTCTTTTTTCAGGGTGCCATGACGCCTGGCGTGCCTATCTTCAGTCCCATGATGCCATATGGCTCAGGCCTGACACCGCAGCCTGTACAGAACACCAATAGCTTGTCCATACTTGAGGAACAACAGAGGCAACAGCAGCAGCAACAGGCTCAGCAGGCAAACGCAGGTAAAAGAAATCTACTGTCATATGTCTCTCTGTCTTGAGATAATAATGTCACACGCCTGGAACTGATTTTACCATAACATTTTGAATTTTAAAATAATTCCATTCTTATACTGTACACGTTAAAATGATACAATTATTCAGTGTTTTTGATGACGAGAAAATACTTTTTTCCTTCTTCAGGCCTTCCAGGCACATCAGGGCAGACCCCACAGCTTTACCACTCCCAGACAGTAGCAGGCTCGACCACCACAGCTCTGCCAGGAAACACCCCGCTCTACAACACACCTCTAACCCCCATGACCCCTATCACACCGGCCACACCAGCCTCAGAGAGCTCTGGAATAGTACCACAGCTACAGTATGTTTCATTTCCGTACTAGAGTATTGTAGGAGTATCTGTTTATACCATATTGTTTCTATCACTTTTTAAGTTGTCTTGCTTTACCTTTTATTACTAAAGGCACTGTTGACTATTTAGGTTAAAACGGAGCATGGATCATAAGTTTGCTCTTATTGAATTAAAATGTATTTACCACCAACATAAAAATAGCTGATACTTCAGAGACTAACTTAGTTTCCCGTGACTGAATAAATTAATTATGTGACTATGAATGTTTTTTTTTAAATACCAAATAATCTGAATTTTTAAACATTTTAACCTGATTCTTTTCTAACTGACTTAACAGTTTGTGCCAATATGTCTCTTCTTGGTTCTTTTCTTTGTGCTTTTATTATTTCCCTACTATCAGAAACATTGTTTCTACTGTGAACCTGGGCTGTAAACTAGACTTGAAGACCATTGCTCTGAGAGCCAGGAATGCAGAGTACAACCCAAAGGTGAGTTTACAAAACATTAGTGTGTTTTCTTCTGTGAGTGGATAAATGGAAACATGTGTCATTGGGGTTTAAAATAAACATGCTTTATTTGTATGCACAGTTTTTTTTTGTTTTTTTTTACAAACTTTAAAACAGAAAATGGTCGTTATTTTTTTGACAGCCCTAATTTATATCAAACAGGCCATAGAACTGAATGGATAACAAGGCTATTTTAGCTATAGCAATGTTCTCATTCTCTCCATGTCTTGTAGCGTTTTGCTGCGGTCATTATGAGAATACGAGAGCCCAGGACCACTGCTCTCATCTTTAGCTCGGGGAAGATGGTCTGCACTGGAGCCAAGAGGTCAGAAAAATTAGTTTGCTCCCTTTCAAAGTGTTACGCTCATTATAAAACCCAAAGCCAGCTGTGTCTTTCAGAAAAATAATCTTTCCAGCCCTGCACTGACTTTACACAAATCCTTGGATGTGTAATTTAGCTTCTTTTCTTTTCTCAATTCTTGTTCAATTGTTTGTCCCAAAATCTAATCTACCTCCCATGACTCCCCCCCAGTGAAGAACAGTCACGGTTAGCTGCCAGAAAATATGCTCGTGTGGTGCAGAAGCTCGGCTTTCCTGCGAAGTTCCTGGACTTTAAGATTCAGAACATGGTGGGAAGCTGCGATGTGAAGTTCCCCATTCGGCTGGAGGGATTAGTTCTTACGCATCAACAGTTTAGCAGGTAGAGGTTTCTTTTGTCTCCCGTTCAGCTGATGGTCACTCTTTTCTGATTATTTAAAAAAAGGTTGTCAAAAGTTTACATACTTTGAGGAGATCTCAGGGTTTGTTCACCATTTAAAATACATTTCTATTGTGATTGTGTACTGAAATCGAGCGGTTTGTCTGTTTCAGCTATGAACCGGAGCTGTTTCCTGGATTGATTTACAGAATGATCAAACCCAGGATTGTCCTGCTTATCTTTGTCTCTGGGAAAGTTGTACTCACAGGTAAGAACAGCTCTTCTCTGCATATGGCATTACTTCAATCTCCAGAGTGAAGTTGTCATGTGCCCAAATCCCCACTTCTGTTATTAACCACGCTGATGTACTATTCCATGTTGTCACAAAACCACACATATAACAGGAAATTGGTTCCATTTTGAATGAATCATCCTGACCATAATGTAAACGCAGTACCAGTAGTCACTGTTTAAGGCGTTGTCCTATTTAATCACATCTTTGTTGTTTTCTAGGTGCCAAGGTTAGAGCAGAGATCTATGAAGCTTTTGAAAACATCTACCCCATCCTGAAAGGCTTCCGCAAAACAACGTAGAACCTGCAGCTCCTTTTTTCCTCTCTCCCAAACCCTGTCAGTTTTTACTCATCTGTCTTTTAATCTCACACGAGGCATCATCTGTATGTATTTTTTTTTTTTTTTTTTTTTTTTTTTAAAGGGATGTGACATCGTTTTCTTTTTTTCTACTCAAGTGTTTTCAGGTTTTTTGAAAAACCTTTCAAGAAGATTTTTTATCACTGCATATGATCACAAGTTCTGGAATGTTTTTCACCAAGACACCTCACATTTTTGGACCTCTACATTTTTCTCCCTGTTATTTTTTGCTTTCTCTGTTGTCCCACTCACATCCCTGATTGTACATAAGACTGTAAAGACATGTAAAAATCGGTGAAAAGCAGTCTGAGGAGGACTGTTCTTGTTTTACTTTCAGCTGTTTTAAATAGTTTTATATATTGTGTTTTTATCAGTGGTCGGCTTGGACCACAAGTTTTATCAATACATGTCAGGTCTACCCGCCCTGCATTCCTTTAAACAGAATTGACTGAGATTTTCGACACTGTTTGCACCAAACTGAATCAGTCTGCTTTGCGTTCGTCATTATGCCTACATTCATAACCAGTGGATATTTGCTAATCTTAGTCCTCATCTTGCGAATGTTGGAAGGGGATTTCCCTTCAAAGTAATAAACCGGCATGGTCTTTGATGTTCACTCTGGGAAGCTGAGTTAAGTTGGATTCCCTTACGTTTTAAATAGAATGATGCTGATTTAAATTGAACAAAGTCCTCCTGTTAAAGTAGTTTCAATTGGTATGGGCTCCCCTCTGCTGTAGTGACTCCAGCCTCAAAGTGATCAAAACTTTTGAGGAGTGGGAAGCTTTGTCCTGTGAGCAATGCAAAAGAGGAAAGTCTGACTGAATCAAGCAAACATTGGAACTTTTGCTCTTATAGTAGAAATACTTAAACTTACTACCTAAGTTGACATTGTTCTCCCTATACTCACAAGCACTAAAAGATATCCTGTTGGAAGAGAAACCGTGCATCATGTCAACATGTTTGTTGCTTTGAGTTTCCTAAGTTGGCTCTTCAATAGTATTGTTTAATGACAGTATTTGTTTTTCAATCATTTGAGTTTAAGCCGATGTGAATCAGTCCTGACTTTGCACACCCCGCCCTCAGCTGAAAACGAGTTACATTTTTGGGCACTTGCGTCTGTGTCTGCATGGATAGCAATCGATTGGGGAAATTAGAGATTTATATGAAACCATATTAATTTCTACATTTCACTAGCGATTCTGTACTTAGCAGCAGCCAATCAGGAGTCAAGGAATCTAAATGCAAATGTACTTCTGCAATTGTGGTGTGCTGCACAGTCCAATAATAAATATGTACATACTGTCTCTTCTTACAGCTGCCTCTTTCGCCTCATTTAAAGTACATCACTGCCAAGTGAATATTCTGGTTTCTGCTTAAATTGGAAACAGCACAATTGTTTGAGTGAGCGGTGTAAGACACTTGCTGTTTTAAGATGTGCTTAAAGTTGAAGGATTCTTGTAAAAGTACCACAAGGCGTGGTGTATATGTACCAGTTTGAATAAGTGTTCTAAGTCTAGAGGACCTTAGTTTTACTGGACTAGTAGAAGACAACTTGATTCAAGTTTAAGAAAGGTGGCAGACATCTTGATCGTTTGATTAGCCCTCAATCACATTCATAAACATCTAACCCTTAAGTTTGATCTGAAAAAACTCCTTACAATGTTGCATATGTTATTTCCTTGCATTGTTCTTGAAATAGACTGTTAACATAGTCTCTCTTAAAACTTAACGTTAGTGACAATCCAATGGTTTTACTTGTGAATTATTTGATGAAGCAACTGTATGAAATATCTGTAAAACAAATGGCGTGAATATAGGCTGTAAACCAGTCATAGGAGGCTGTGGTAATATTGTCAGTCGGAGATGTCAAAGAATGGAAATATCTTCACATCAGAGTTGTAACTGCTTTATGTGCGTTTTCTGTCTTTGCTGAAAGTGCAGAAAATGAGGCGACTATAGTCGGATAACTTTGTTAAGCGCTTTATTGTGCAACAAACACTTGTTTTACTGACTTAAAATCAAATGTATGTAACGCTGGAAATTAACATATTTCAGAGTCCAGAGGTCAGGAAGACCCCTGATACTTTCCTCTTAATAGACAGGATTTAAACTTTGAGCATCCAGTGGCAGCTTCAAGAACTCCTATTTTACTCTTTGAACTTTCACCAGATATTTTTATAAAAAAAAAAAAAAAACTATCCAGAAACTATTGTGTGGGTTGAGTCTCTGTGGGTTGATCTGGGCTGAAGTCCTGCTTCCAAATGAACTCGGGGCAGTACAGGTCGTCATGGTTACAGTTGACAGAGCATGTGTAGATGGCCAGTGTCCCCCAGTCAATACTTGCTCCTGTTGAGTCCTCGCACAGACTGTTTAACAGCTGGGGCATCACCTAAAGACAGACAGACACACACACTTTAATAACTACATGAATTGGACACAAACCAAATCAAACAATGAATTTAAATACACTGCACTGAATGTGGATTTATTTTAAGTTTTTAAAATATCAAGTATAAGAGAAAAAACACTTTTTCCATCTGAGGCTGCACACTTGAATATGACCATCCATTTCTACAAACAGATTTAATGGTTGTCCTGGAGCAGTTTATCAAGCAAATAATGCAACTTTCTGAACAAATTCATTGCAAAAAACAAGACTGTAGCACGGCTAGTTTCACCAAATACATGAATGCACTTCAACTGGGCCTGTTTGCCATCATAGACCTGAATATAATACTAAATAAACTTTGCACAATGAGCATTTTATCACTCAAAACATACCTGAAATTTACGAATTAAGTAAGTCTCTAAGAGGTCAGGTAAGTGAGCATTCAATAGGCAATGATTACCTGGAACTCAAAGGTCCTCTTGGCGCCACAGGTGCATGATGGGATATCCTGATCTGTAGGGATGTGCTTTGAAGAGATCCACAAAGGGGAGCCACCTCGGCTGTAACGCACCACCTGAACCCAACAAAACACAGTGAGCTGCACACAGAGTACAACTAAACATCTGTGTAGATGTTGATTGCTTCATATCATAGCCATGTTCCTCATATTTGTTTATTTTTTTAAATACCTGGTGCGGCTCTGGTGCGATCTTCTTTTTGAACCGCTGGAAGACTTCGTTGTCTTCAGTCTCATGCATAGCCATCTCCTCCAGGTCTGTCTCTATCAGAGCTGGACAGAAAAAGTCAGGAGAAAGGCTTTAGAAAGACCTGCTGATTTAAGAAATAAATGAAACATCAGCATGGCTAGACGTTTCAATAAATTGTCTTTGTAGTTGGTACTTGAAGTCACATTTAATGATTTCTTCTCACCTACATACATTAGATTAGTTCATGTGACAGAATGCTTACTGCTTTCTATAGATGGACAATTTGCAGTTTCTGCTTCTTCTTCTGCCTCCTTTGTTTCTTTCTCTTCCACATCCTCCCCCTCCTCCTCAGGCTCAGTGACCAGCTCTGACTCAGGGAAGACAAAAGGAGACGTGACGACGGTCGCTTCTGTAGAGATAAAAAACAAAGAAATAAACAGCAAATTCATAATGTTTTCAAATTACAGCTGGAACAAGTCTCTTGTTTGGCTGCCGATGTAGGAAAATCTCACACATCCATTTTTAATTAAGAACATAAAATGACACACACCTTGGCTGCAGCACTCCTTCTTGTGACTGTGTTTCCAATGAAGGGTCTGGTGGTGCTTCCCACAGTATGTTACACTGTGACAGCGGGAGCAGGCCTTGGTGCCGGGGCAGCCACAAACCCAACACAGTTTTACTCCAGAAGGGGACAACACACTCATGTTCGGTTCATAATCATGAGGCGGTTCATCTTCTGGGGAAAGAAGGAAAAATAAGTCAATAAATGCAAATGTCCTGACAGAAACATTTGATCTGTAAATGTATTTTATTGATGTGTTTGTATTAAGGTATTTGCGCTGACTAAACTCAAAAAGTCAGAAAGTGCTGCAACATAAGTAGACCTCATGCTGTTCAAAAACAGAGGACAACATCACACTTAAGCTAAACTTTGGTTAAAATACATATAAAAACAAGAAAAAAAAAACAAAGACATATATATTAACTGAAACTTTTCAATTTGTTCGTAAAATAAAGATTTCCTACAATCTCATGTTTAATATTAGCACTTAAAAGTCAATGTTAAATGACACTCTTACCTCAACAACACTTTATGTATGTAGCTCTTGACCATATAAAGTGATGAATAACTACTCTTAGACAGAAACCCTGGCATATAAACACACCTGATGGAGGGTTGTAGGGGTAGAAGGCATTCCTCCTGCTTAGCTGACTTCTGAAAACTGAAGAGAAAAGGGAGAGAAAACAGAAATCTGTCAGAAAAATGACTGAATGCAATTACTGCCTTATATTTAGGGATATTTCCCTTTATTTTAATTTTTGTAACACACACACACACACACAAATAAAAACACAAGCTAGACAATGTTGTTGCCATATGTTACTGTTGGACCATAGAACATGTACAACCCCACCTATAAATAAATCAGGAGCTATTTACAGTCTATGATCAGGAGAGATATGTTTGAAATGCCAGTTGCTGTGTATTTAATATAAGGACATTAAGAAAAAATATCTAAATTTGAAGCATTGCAAGAATAATGCAATGTAATTTGAACATACATGAAAAAGTGACAGCCTACAGGTACCTTTCATACAGCGGCTGTCGTTCAATGTGTAGCACTCCCGAGTCTTGCAGCAGAACAGAAAGAGCGTCCTGTGAAAACATCTGTCATCGCCAGAAATGGGTGCATACACCTGCATGAACCATGAGAGAGTTATTTTTCACAAGAGGGAGAGTTTAATTAGATCCAGCCACACCTTAAAGGCTGGTTAGAAGCAAACAGATGCATGAAGTGAACAGACATCACAAATCCATCATACAGTACCTCATCTATTTTTAAAAAGAATAAAACTGAGACAGAAGTTAACTAATCTGCCTGACTACTTAAAAGTAAGATACTTTGGGATTATTAATTGTCAAAAAATGCAGAACAGGCTACTTATCTTCTCTTAAACGAATTTAAAAAGTATCCAAAATCCCCAAATATATTTTATGAAGTAAACAAACTCTTTTCTAGTAGCTGGCTGGCTTCCTGGTACTTTTAATCTTACTGGTAGTTTATGGGTGGAGGATCCCTAGTGTCTACCTTCTCAGGGACACTAACCTGCAGTAGAAAAGCCATGGGCAGGCGGCAGATCTCACACTCCAGCCCAGGCAGTGAAGGCAGGCCACCCTGGCTGAGCCACGCCGGTTTCCCTCCCACTTTGCTGGGGAACTGCGGGGACAGCAGCCGCCACGGCTCCGCATCCTCCAGAAAACCCAGCACTACCTCCGCAGTGGACATGCTGCTGGCGCTGGACATGTTAGCGGGGTTAACTGTCATAAAGGAAACTGTAGAGCTGTTATTTATTTACAGTCTACAAAAACACAACACATGCAACACGCGTGAAGTTCACTAAAGCGTCCGTGAGGAAACATTGACCACCTGGTGTTATGTTCCGCTTTCCTCGATGCTCTTACTTTAAACATATTCATAGGTAATAGGCTACTAACCTAGATGTATATGATATGTGTGTCTGTATTTGGTAACCTGATATTTCATAGCTTGCGTGACACTCTACGTGCCGTAAGGTTTTCAGTTTGAACATTTGATGAGGTTATTAATCAATGTGTCTATTCTCGATGACCACTAGAGGGAGCACATGTACAATCAATAGGCTGTTACAGCAGGCCTACATGATTTCTGTATTTATATGTTAAGATACTTTATTCTGACGTTCAAAGTAGTTGTTTTCTACTCCATAGCTCGATAGCTAGTATATGCATCTCTTTCATTGACAATTAAAAACAATGTAATTCATGTTTTAAGTACAATGCATTATTATAGATTAAAACACACAAAAACTTAATATAAAGAATTTAAAATGTTTTCCCCATGACTATCATGCTACGTGTGTCAATTTATATAGGACATAATAGACAGTGTTATATGATATATGTAGCACAAGTGTCAAAATAGACCCATCTGTAGTGTGGATAATAATAACAACAGCCTGTTTGCCAGATAGAACAAAAAGAGCTAAAAGTGCAAACTAAGAATAGCCTACTGATTGTGATTATAACTGAGTAAAAGTTGGTGTGCTTTTTGATTCTTTACATTTGTTTACTTCACACAGTTAAGTAACATTTGCTATAATGTGGTTAAAATTGAACAGTGAGAACATGAAAGCAAAAAGAGGGACAACTGGAAGGCCTGTAATAATTAATAGACTAATAGCTTATTGTTACACACAAACACACACACACACACACACACACACACACACACACACACACACACCACACACACACACACACACACACACACACCGTGATGTCACTTAAAGGGGAGTTCTGACAGTCTGTGTATCTGAGTGGACGGACACAGATTGTAACAAACAGTAATTGAATCCCCGCTCTTTTATTCGGACTTTTGTTCATTATTAAATCAACCATGGAACTACAAATGGACACCAAGTCAGGTTGGGGTTTGACCGGGGTGAGCAAAAGTTCACATTTATTGTAATTGAACCATGGAAACTAAAAGGAAGCGGGCAGCTGATGAACCGTGGTAACCCAGCAGATAACGGAAGAATGGACGTTTTGAAAATTGGACTAAACCGGGACTAAAACCACATGCCCGGGTCTACCCGAGATATATGTCACCCTCCTCCCCGTTCCAGATGCCTCCTCGGGGCGATGGGGGCTACAAGCCAGCGCCGGTGTCCCCTGCGCCGCCTGTCCCGCCTAGGAGGGTCCGAAGCCGGGACAGGGGCTCCGGCAGGACGCGGCGGTCCGGGACAGGGGCCGGAGCTGGAGCAGCGGAGAGGCGGGTGAAATGTGTGCTGGTGGGAGACGGAGCTGTGGGGAAAACCAGCCTGGTGGTCAGCTACACCACCAACGGGTACCCCACTGAGTACGTTCCCACCGCGTTTGACAACTTCTCAGGTAATGTTTATTCAAAGCAGCTTTTATCATAAAGGACAGATAGCTATGTGTATTAAACTGAGACATTTTACATCTGTTAAAGACATTTTTAAATGATTTTCCTTTAGGGTATTTATAAAAAATAACCCGACAGATCCTAGTCTATTAGGTTGAAACCATAATTAAAAATTCAAGAAACAACTAGAAATTGATTGATTCTTTTTTGGCGGATTTGCAATAAGATCATTGCTGATAGGCTTAGGCTACTATTATTGAAGTGTCTTTACTCAGTTTTAAGTAGGCTAGTTTACTACCAGCTGATTGGGTGATTGTTAAAGTGTCTTTGTTGTTATTGTTTTTAATAACTTAATTTTGTCTCATGGTGTGTGCAGCGGTGGTATCAGTGGATGGCCAGCCAGTGAAACTACAACTTTGTGACACAGCTGGACAGGTCAGGAACACACACACACACACACACACACACACAGACACACAGACACACACAGACACACACACACACACACACACACACACACACACACACACACACACACACACAGACACACACACACACACACACACAGACACACACACACACACACACACACACAGACACACACACACAGACACACACACACACAGACACAGACACACACACACACACACACACACACACACACACACACACACACACACACACACACAGACACACACACACACACACACACACACACACACACACAGCAGTATTTCCTGCTGTTGTCTCAGTTGGAACAATCCCTGTAAAGAGGCTTCCTTCTTTGTGGCTGCTCTTATTTGTGGAAGAGTGGGCAGACAACAAAAACAAACAAATCAATGTCCCTGGTTGGAATTGAACCTGGGTTCTGTGGTCGTAAGCTATCTTTCTGAACCACAAGGCCACCAGGGTCTCTGAAAAAAACTGTTCAACTAGATACTTACAACAAATATCCAAGTGTTCTCTAATAGAAACTCATTGTTTGATATAACAGCAGATTGATAGTCTAGTTTGACCAAAACAAGTAGCCAATGTTTCATTGATAATTGGTAGCCTACATAGTTTAGGATTTGTCAGTTGAATATCAGTGTCAGCCTAGGTGGCCTCAGTCTGTGTCCAGGAAACGGTCTGGTTATCCCTTCCTCGGAAAGATGTAGCACTCAGGAAGTGATGCATTTTATTCCTCTGTTTTAGCTGCAGCAGCTGTTTGTGTTGAAAACTACAAGAGTATCTGTCCACTTAAAATGAGCTTCACTGATTAGATAGAGCTGACGAAGTCATTCTTCCCATTAAGCCTATTAGATTCACTGTTATCGTACGTATTTGTATAATCTGCTCCAACACATTGTTTGTTGTTATCAGTGTGTTTGAAGAAATTAAAACAAAATGAGGATTGCAGGCAGAGGAAGGATAAACTGTGATTATGGGAAGATCATCTGTCATCATGAAACGTTCTCACAGTAACTCCAGTTAATGTGTTGAGATACAAAGAGTGCCCAAAGTTTCTGCATTAATTACACCTCTGTTCTTAAAAGTGTTATTGTGCTTGTTTTTAAACTATTGCACTTGCTACATGTTTTCTCTGACTGTCTATCTTTTCAGGATGAGTTTGACAAGCTGCGTCCTCTGTGCTACACCAGTGCAGACGTGTTCCTGCTTTGTTTCAGTGTTGTCAGTCCAGCATCCTTCCAGAACGTTCCTGAGAAGTGGATCCCAGAGATCAGAGGACATGCCCCGTTTGCTCCGCTCGTCCTTGTTGGGACTCAGTGTGACCTTCGAGAGGACGTCAAGGTGGAGTAAATGTAGACCGTGCAGCATTTAACATACACACCGCCTACTATATGATCAACGTCTTTTTCTCTCATGCTTTCACCCTCATTTTTTAGTTTTAACAAATGTTTTAGCTATGATGCAGGTATTAAACATATTACTTTACTGTAAAAATAAATACAATTACTTATTTTGTTAAAAGTGAACCTTTGGAATAAAATAATCTGTTTCTCCAAATGATGTTGGAGATAATTAATGGTTCAAAGAAAAAAATAACAAGACACCTGAAACAAAGATGAAGAAACACCTGAAATCAACACCTTTATCAATTGAAAATGAAAAAAACAACAAGGCATTAATTTTGGAAAATACAATTCTACAATTCACTTAACATACGCTTTTATGTAAAGCTACATACAGACAAGTACAGACGAACAGCTTTAAGTCTGATCAGACAAAGGTGCTGACAGGCACCGAGGCAAAGCACAACATTCACAGCTGTTCTTAAGAGTTCAGTATCAAAACCATTCTTAATATCATCATTATCAAACAAAATCATCATCCTCATCATCAAATCATCATCGTCATTATCAATATCATGAAGTGCATAGGTGTTCATGGAAGATCTGGGTCTTTAGCTTTTTCTTAAAGGTGATCGACTCCACCGAAGGGGGACAAAGGAGAAGAGTCTAGTTAGAGACTTAAGGCCCTGTTGCGAAATCGATAAACAACACTCCCGGCATTAACTAATGGCTTCAAGTATTCATGGTGTACACGTGATGCGTCAAATGATTTTGGCAATCAACCTTTTTCACAAGAGACTTTTGAACTTGTCAAAACAGGAAAAGCACTACCACTAAATACTGTTAGTGACTGATGTATTCAATCGGTATGACTTTTTTATAGTGTAGCCCTTTTACAATGAATTTGCTTATTTATGTATATTGTTGTGGATATACTGTTTCCCAAAAATATTGATGCTTTGCTTTAAGGTTAGGTTTACCTATATGTTTCATTGCGTATTTCATGTTAATTCTGGTTTTAAAATTATACAATTCTTTGTATGGTGCTTTTTAAATGTCTGAAACTGTTAAATGACCATTGGTTAAACCCTTGGTTCTTTACTGACATTTAGGAATTCCCAGTAACAAGATTTTCACAGATACAAATGAACTCAGTGTTGCCCTCTCTCTAGGTTCTCATCGACCTGGCTAAGTACCGGGAACGTCCTGTGGACCCAGCAGAGGCTAAAGACTGTGCGCTGGAGATTGGAGCTGTGGCCTACATGGAATGCTCTTCCCTGACCCAGAAGAATTTGAAAGAAGTGTTTGACACGGCCATACTGGCCAGTCTGCAGAACTGCAGCTCCCATAAGCACCCAAGAGGAAAACAGAAAAGACGGAAAAAGAAAAGGCAGACGGCGGACAAGATGAAGAGTCTGTCAAAGCCATGGTGGAAGAGGTACTGCTGTGTGGCCTAGGGCAGACCTTTCAGGTTACTTTGTCCTGCTCTGGATTGAGATGGATTCTGGTTCTGTCTGAACTCACGCTCAGTTGGTGTTTTGGTCTTGTGGAGCCTCATGAACCATTGGACTGCTGCTTAGAACTAAAGCAAGACTGTCACAGATTTTAAATATTTTTATTTTTCTAATCGTGAGGGCTTCTTGTCTTATCATGGATAAGATGAACTTCTCAGACAAGCCTGCTTCTAGCATGCCCTGAAAACATTGCAGTGATGCAGATGTTATCCAGGTTTGAAAGACCCCCTCTTTGAAGGAGGCAGAACTTTCCATAAACTGGCAGGAGACCCTTTAAATGTCACGTAGACCGTCCAGATTTAAACAAGAACAGAAGTATAGATTTTCTCTCCTCTGCCTGACACACAAATGGAATAATGTTTAGTCTGGTGATCTGGTGACACCCTGTTCCAACCTCGTATGGATTTATGTGGTCTATTATGTAACTCGGAGGGGGCCTGACTCTCTGCAGACTGTGCGTGACCTGTATGAGTCCAACTTGTTTTAAACGTTGGTCGGATTTCTAACACTCAAGATAAGAAAGAACTGGAAGCTGAAACAGAGTGTCTTTCAGACCAAACTTTGTCCTCATACCAAGAAAAACTTTTGTTGGATTTTCTGAGTCGTAGGCGATCACAAAATATGATTTCAGCGAATTAGTCAACAAATCCTGCTCATTTTTGATTTTAGAACCTTTATAACTTCAATGATTGTTTTTCTAACCAAATAACGGACCGTATTATTCAGCCAATAATTGCATCACGTTCATATCCAGGTTGAATAAGTGACAGTGAATAAGTTTGATAAGGCTGAGACTTCAGGGTAAGTGGACATAAGCAGCATGATGTAGCCCATTGGTTTATGGAATAAGACAGCTAAAGAAAGACAAGAGAGAGTGGGAGATGACATGTAGCAAAGGGCCAAAGTTAGATTACAACTCATGGCCGCTGTGAAGAGGATATAAGCCCGGATATAAGACGTTACAGCAAGGCTATAAAATGCCCCCAAAATCCTTTTTTGTACTACATGTTTTGCTACATGTTGCTGACATTTTAAGATGGGGTTTTTATGGGACTTCTGGGTCTTTTGGAGCCAGACTCAAGTGGACACTCAAAGAACTGCAGTTTTTTTTGCACTTCCGCATTGGCTTCACTTTTCAACACCAGAGGTTTCCACCTATTAGCAAGATGCTATCTGTAACCGAAGTCAACATGTTACACATTTTGAATCCAATTTCTGCTTGAAAAGAAACAGGCTTTAAACAAATTGTTCATATCAGAAAAATAAACTTTTTTTTTAAAACTGAATGCTCAATAAGACATTTTATTCAGGTCGCCATTATAGCCAGTTCTTAATATAGGTAGTCCTGCCCAAGAGAATAGCCAACTTTACTCTTGAGTTTACTCAGAATAGGGCCATAATTTACACAATGAACATCAAGCTGAATTGAAGAAAATAAGAAACTAGTGTTGAGACCGTCAACTCAATAGGAAAAAATCACGTTAGCAATAAATCCAATGAGACATCTATAGAGGATTTTTCATTTTCATTTTTAATTTTTAATTTTGTAACCAGGGAAGTCACCCTCCTCATTTGAATGAATTAGCTTTTTCTTCACTTTTCAAATTTGGAGGAAATGTCAAATTATATTTTTTATACAGCATTCTGTAAAAAAAGAAAAAGAAAAAAGAAGCCTTGTAAACGACACCTCTAAAGTGATAAACTAAGAATACCGAAACACAGATATCAGTACTACAAAAGAGTCGGAACAATTAAACACACAAAGACCATCTGAGATTGCAGATGATAAAACCTCAAACATTGTTCTGCCATAAGCAACGTAATTAACTGTATGTTAATGCCAGTTTCATCCTCCTCATTTATCATTCTTTACAACACAGGATTTATTGCACAGCATTTCCATGCAATGTTATTGAAGGACTTTCTGGTTAGCGTCATATAAATATTTAGTGAAATGAATATGAAATATTGTGTTTCTTCCTACGCATCCCTTCACACAGATCTTCTGTTTTATTACTGCAACAACCATTGATCATTGTACAAATCTGGGTCAGCAGAGTGGTCTTTCATCAATAGATTAAGCAGAAATGAGAATGCAAACCAACACACTGTGGAGCCCTCAGTTGCCACACCTTCCTTTGTACATTGTTTTTCTTAAACAAGAACAAACCCAAATAATTGACAACTCTTTATCTGCAGTTCCTCTGTCTGAACGGCTCTTTGTATGAGAGTCCCTGAAGGAGAAGGGTTGTCTTGTCGCAAGGGTTGCAACAAGAAGCAGTCCAGTGGATTCAAAGATCTGCCATCACATCATGTAGACACAGCAAAGCTATTTGTACCAATTAGAAATAAACACAAAATTCATTTTTGATTTGTTTGCTCTGGGACAATCTTAACTTTTAAAAAAAAAAAGTTTTTAATTTTTTGAGGGTGAAACGCCTTGGAGACACAGATGCAGTACACCCAGGGCTAAAAACTTTAAAATGAATTGAGTCTACTCAAAAACCTTTTAAATTTAGCAAATCTGATGTTCTTTTCAGATTTTTTTCCTGACTACAAACACATTTTTCTGGCATGTGGTTTAAAATCAGTTCTCTCCTTGATGTGCAACTGAGTGAGAAGTGGTGCACCTTGAAACTCTTTGAAAAAGAAAATGTTTTAATTATCTTTAATTCAAAGAAAATGTGTCAGTCATATTTAACAACTACAAATTACAATCAACTAAAACTTATACTATCAACAACATTTCCCTTTGGTTCCTACAATGTACCAAAACAGACCTGCTGATTTTTCTTTTTCTGAGAACGAAGAGAAATGTCCACCTTCACTTCAGTCCTGAGTTTGAGACTTTGACTCCTGACTTGAGGATTACTGGAGCTGTTTGGTAGTTTGCGCTAAGGATGTTTCCCCTTTGTGTCAGTGGGTTCACAGTGTCTATGCATTGTTTCTTGCTGAGGAAAAGGCTTAAATATGTTGCTTATCTTATTGTTTGTGTGCACTCTGAGCTCATGGTGGACTTAAGTAGGGTAAAGTTCATGCAGACCTTTATGATAGCTGCATTTCCCTTGCAGGTTTTACCATCATTATCTGTTTACATGTTTCATTTATGGGGAGAATAGAAATACTTTCTTTGTAGTTTTTTTTGCATACATTTAACTAGCATGTGTAGCCTGAGCTTGTATAGCGAAAACAAAAGTAGTTTACAAGAGATACAGCTTTGCAAACTTTACTATACACAGCAATATTTTGAGCTAAACACTAACATCAGTATAATTGTATCATCTATACTTCTTATCATGTTGGCAGTCGTAGGCTGAAGTCAGTCCCAGCTGTTAAGGAGCTGGAGTTGGGCTACATGCTAGACAGGTCAACCCAGTGTGTTAGTCACAATTCAACCCAACAGCCATGTCTTGGGGCTGTAGGAGGAAACCAGAGTACAAGTATGGAGTAAAAAACCCACGCATGCACAGGGAGGACATGCAAACTCCACACAGAAAGGCTCCTTTGTCCAGCCAGAACTCAAACCAGGACCCTTCTTTCTGAGAGGCAGCAGCACTAATCACTGCCCCACAGTGCAGCCCCTATCATCAGTATTGTATTATTTATTCAATTAGTTGATGTGTGCAATTAGCTTCAGGCTAATTTTCATTTGCAGTTTCCTGGCAGGTCACATACACAATTTAAACAATGGAAGTTTGTATAAAATGTTTTAATGAAATCAAATTGTCGATGAATTTCACCAGTCACACAAATGTGATCCTCAAGTTGGTGCCAGAAAAACTCAGGTTATCATCAGGGTCATTGGGATACATCATCAAGGAAAGGGTAACATTTGTGTCAATTTTTTTTGTTAGTTATTGTGATGGCTGTTGACATAATTCAAAGTATAAGTGAAAAACCAGAACCTTTTGTTTAGTGATGGGTCATTAAGGTAAGTGAGCATAAATTAATTCAAATCCTGATAAATCCATACATGAAGAAATGAAAAGTCAGTCAGATGTTTTTCTGCTCTGCCAGTCACTAAATTACACATAGTTTAACATTCCTTTACAAAATGAATGATGAACTGATATACAGCAGAATAAATACAGGACTTGGTGTTTGCGTCCTACACCAGAAGTGAACCACTGCAATACAAAAACATTAGGCCATCAAACAGAAACCTGTTACTGTGGGTACATTTCCTCAGTTTGGTTTAAATGACGCTCTAATGACATGCAATAAACACACTTTTGAAAATTATTAAACAATGACAATCTCTGGTCACAAAATCTGCAGTTCACCAGAGTGCAGGACCATGTGTTGTGTCAGAATACTCCTCTCTGTAAAACTTTGACCACACTCAGAGAAAATAAATGATTCTACATAGGGGTGGGACAAAATATCAATACAGCAATCGTTGTATCGTTGCCCTGATTCGTGTGAAACAATAATTGAATTGCTGGTGCCATATATCAATATTTAAAAAATTGAACACTCAAAATACAGATTTCCCTAAATTCGACTCACTGCTTTATGCATTCATGACTCTTCTTGTTGGCACTTATTTAACTGATCAAAATGATTCTTTGGTCAAACACTCCAGTTGTTAAGTGTCTCCCTTCAGTGATGTGCCATGTGAAGTGTCACATAAGACTTTTGATTGAATCTTGCACCCCAATGAGAGCAGCTAGATCTTCTTTCTGTGTATGAAATAATGTGTGTTGGAGTTCTTTGTCTGAATCTGTTGCTGCACTCAGAGCAGCTGACGGATTTCTCTTCTGTATGAACTAAAATATCTGTGGTTAGATTTCCTTTGAGCTTAAATCTTAGCCACAACTAAAACAACGGAATGGTGTCTCTCCTGTATGAACTCTCCTGAGGCTGAAAAAGAAAACCTTTTTGTGGGAAAGTTTTACCGCACTCAGAGCAGCATGTCTGTTTCTCCTGTGTCTCTCCTCTGTGGGCTAACAGGTGTTTGGTCAGTCTTTCTTTTCTTCCCTATTTTTCTTACACTAAGAGCAGGTAAATGGTTTCTCTCCTGTGTGAACTAACATATGTTTGGTCAGAATTTACTTTGTTTTGATGCCATTTCTTTTTGACTGATTTACCACACTCAGAGCAGCATTGGTCTTTGGTTTCTGAGTGTAAACTTGAGTCTCTTTACGATCATCATCACTGTCTTCAGTCTCTTTACAATCATCATCACTGTCTTCAGTCTCTTTACAATCATCATCACTGTCTCTTGGTTTTAAACGTCTCTCTGGACCTGAGTCTCTGGCTCGTTTCGATCCTCCACAGTACCTGTTTGGTTTGTTTTTGATAAAGCAGGGAGGACTGAGGTTTCACTTCATCACTTTCCGCTTCACATAGACAGGAGTGAACGGGAACTTGAGACAGGAGGGAACAGGAACTTGATGTAATCATCCTCCTCCAGTCCTTGACGCTTCTCTCCCTCCTGACTGCTCCACGTTTCCTCCTGATTCTAAAGAAGACACTTGTTTCTACTAGCCAATGCCAATATGAACAGTTTTATGCGTTTTCACTTAATTTATCATCTGGTATCCCATATTGAAGCATGAGTATACATTTCAGCCTGTTTAGTAACCAGTTAAAATCTCCCCACAGGAGCTTTCATTTATAACATGTATTGCCATTTTATTATCTTCAGATACAATGAATATGTCATGTCCCTCTATTTAACAATGAACTGAAAATGTTTCATGAACAATCGTGCTCTGTGTGAGCAAAGCTGAGGACTGAAGCGTCTAGTACCTAGTTTTCCTCTTCTGAAAGACAAAGTTGCTACAGTTCTGTCAAACAGCTCAAAATCTCTGCAGTAACTGCAGCCAGTCGCTGGTTGTCAAAAATGTCTTTGCATTTGGAATTTGGACATTTTCACCCAAGCACACCGACTTTTTCTCCACACACATGTAATCCAAAAACACAACGAAAATAAATTTGAATGAATGAATGAACGACTTTATGATGAACCAAAAGGGTGAGTTGCATGTGTGAACATAACCAACGGATTTTGCCCCTAACTTTCCCCTGCTAACCCCTAGAAAAATGTCCACTCGACGTCGAAGTGAACTGATTTGTATGAAGCCCCTGAAGTCCCGAAAAATGAAAAAATAAATCTTGTGCGCACAAGAATGTCGTGCACTAAGCAGGAAGGGGTGATAGTGTTTTTGTCATGAAACTGGTGCGATCTTCATGCATGTAATGAAGCTGCTTCTCTTTTCTACTAGCTGGTATGTTCCTTCCCAGTCATTGGTTGATACGATGAATACTTACAAAATCACTGTGGACCCTGTCTCTTTGTCCACCATCTTGGATTTCTGCAGCATCTTTTTTTAATCATGTCTTGTCACCTAAGATGATGTGATTCTGCTCTGTCTATTTTGCTGAGTCTTGATTACTCACCTTTTATGATAATGGTGTTGCAAGTTAAACTTTTTAAAGTTTGAGTTTTGTCATGTTGCATGGAGCCCCCAAAGACCAAGTTTACAAACAATGCAAAGCTGTGTGCAAATCCGTACCAGCGCTTTCCAGTCCGTGCGCATGGATTTACATTCTTTAGTCACAATTTCCTAAATGGGATTTGCATTAATTGGAAATCTGTGCGTAGAGTTGACTAATCTGTGCACTCAGTGAGGTATGGACGTTGGCAATTATTTCCATGCAGCATATCACCTCTCTCTCTCTCTCTCTCTCTCTCGTGCTCTTTCTCTCGCACATACATGCGCAGGCAGGTGTAGGTGTGTCTGTATTCTGTCCAGACCCCTCTAACCCTAACACTCAAACAAAAACAAGAACCCAGGTACAAAGAAAGAAGATTACTTTACTGCATGGCCTTGTGTCACAGAAATTAATTCTGGATTTTTTTTTAAAATTGTCATATTGTTTGTTATTCTTACATAAGTGCATAAACACAACAAAATAATGTCACACCAAATCCACACCCATGGACAGATGTA